TTGGACCCATTAGCTATCCTTATGTAAAGAATGGAGGTGGAACCCAAACCTACAGTCTACAGCCCTGTGGGATCATAATCCTTCTCTGAACAAAGTATACAGTCCACAAATATTTAAAACTGCATAAAAAGCACAATTTCAGATGAAAAATGTTGGAGTTGATCCACAACTTATAGCAGTTCACACAAAGCCCGCAATACCACAATTTTGGTGGTTATGAAATTAAACGTATGCCTTTTATGCCAATGATGGCTAATGTTTGAAGGGACTTCTGTTGTGGACTATATTTCTCATGATGCACAGTGAAACTTAAGTGGAAAGGATTTTGGTCCACTTTCATTAATGAATATTAAATATTGAATAGCGGAGTGGTCCACTGTACATGGTATTGTTATATTTAGCTAAATCCCCATATTTTCTTTTTATATAAAAAAAGGTGTTTTTCACATTTTTTAAAAATATTTATAACATGTGAAATATGTATTCATGGAGTCAATTTCATGAAAATGTGCTTATTTCAGAAGTCATTTCCAATTATGTCACAAAATGGAAAAATCCGATTTCTCCTTGGATCAACAACCTGTTTTCATACATATCAATTATATCCTTGAATATTCTGTTGATGCAAAAAAGCATCCAATATATATCTATAGAAACTGATGACAAGCTCTTCATGCAGAGAATTCTAGATCTTTATTATTGTTACTGTAGAAATATAGTATGATAACAATGAGAGAGATACAAAAAGACTGATGAGAAGAGAAACAGACTGCGATTTGCAGCAGTTCAATATCGCTTACTTATAGATTATTGGACACATAATGAAGAACGTGAGATATGCTCAAATTACATCCCAAGTTGAGGAGGTGGGTTTTGGGTGCAGGGGATTTTTTTTAATATAAATATCAGGAGGTTGGTCCCTTTTGAATCCTTGCATCGTAACCAAAAGTGCAATTCTGTGTTCACTTAATAGCCTTATTTGATGGGCACTGGTCCATCAAATCAGCATTTAGTGTTCACTATGATATGAGAAATATATTGCTAGTTTCCCTTTCTGAGTATAAGTGAGTAGGCAGCATTTAATTAAAATCAACAGAAACATTACTCAAAGCATGATGTATAATAAACATTTTAAGGAATCCTGTATAAAAGCAGATTTCACATTAACTCGGCAGGTTTTTGGATGGCTGTGTAACTAACCAGGGGAGCAGCAGAGTAATACGCACATTATTAAATGGGATGTTCGCAGACTGAGGATCAAGTGCTCATTAATGGTCCTGCTTCCAGATAAGAACGAACAAAGAGAAACACCGTTAACATCTGGTTATTAAAAGTCACCTTCTGGACAAGACATTTCGCAGTGATCATGCCAGAAGATAAGAGACCAACAACCTATTCGGAAAGCAAAGACTAGTTTGCTCTTTAGGATAGCCTTTTATACACTCCAAGTATTTTTACCGCTTCTTCTGAAAGGCTATTCTATGCACTTACTGCCCTTTCTAGATCATGGATAGATTATTTATATAGCGCCAACAAATTCTGCAGCGCTTTACAATGGGTGGACGAACAGACATGTAGTTGTAACCAGACAAGTTGGACACACAGGAACAGAGGAGTTGAGGGCCCTGCTCAATGAGCTTACATGATAGAGGGAGTGGGGTAAAGGGACACAAAGGGTAAGGATAGAATTAGACTAATGACAGTTGCGCAAGAGGAATCAGTCGGGAGCTATTAACAGTTTAATTGATACGCTTTTATGAAGAAGTGGGTTTTTTATGATTTTTTGAAGGAGTGGAGACTGGGTGAGCATATAACGGAGGAGGGAAGTGAGTTCCACAGGAATGGTGCAGCCCTCGAGAAATGTTGAAGGCGAGCATCAGAGGTGGGAGTACGGACAGAAGATAGACGTAAACCTTCAGCAGTTCCACTGCTGTTTTTACTGCTTCTGGTATATATTACCCTTACTGTAATATAGCTTTTACCGACAGGATTCTTGGCTTCTAGTTTTTCAACTCAACTTTTTATGCCAAATGATTTCTTTTTTTTTTTTTCATGTATTTATAGGTTTGAAATTTTGGCACAGACAAAGTATAGGATGTTAAAATCATTATAGAGCAAAAAAATACCTTGTGTCATCAAACACACTATTTTTGTTTTGAGATTTTAAGGCATTTACAAACTTTACAGTCAAAATATTTAAATAAACTTCTTTATTAAAAAAAAAAAAGGGAGTCCCTTTTTATATTTAGCAAAATTATTTTTTGGAAATAAAATGTGGAACACGTATTGGTTTTTACCATCTGTTTAAAATGACACACTTGTTTTTCATGAGATTGATTGAGTGAACAAGGAAACTGTGATAATGCACAAAGAGCCAAGAGATCATTTCTATTACAATGTTGTGATTTGTAATATCATTAAATGTAAATTTATTTTTCCAATCATTAATCTCAGGGCAGAACCTTCTCTGAGAGTTATTTGATAAATAGAATTAAAACCGATCCAAAATAAATATGTTTTACAATTTGGAGAGAAGAAAAAAAAATAAACTATCATTATATGATTTATAAGAACAAATATTATATCACACTTTTGGAACACTGTTGTACATAACAAGTAAATATTTGTTTATGCTTTTTTAGTGAACACTTTATAAAATACTAATATATATTATCATTGGTTAAAAATGTAAATCTCTATATTACTAGACAGGTCTACAAATTTCCCCAGTGGCCAGTGGATTAGTGGAAATTTTGAACCAAGGTTAAGATTCATACTGTATTATTTCTGCTGAAATATATTGTTTACATTATGTGCTCAGTGTATTTTAGAAAGTTGCAATTGCTAAATAAGCCAGGGATAAAATGTTAATGCTATTGGTTTGTTTCCTTGCTTATCAGTAAAAAGAAGCAATTAAAGGGATACTATAGGCACATAAATAACTTGACTTGCTCAATTCTACTTTACTTCACTTAATTCTCTGCTATTTAAAAGCTAAATCATTTTGTTTACGCAACCCTAGTCACACCTCCCTGCATGTGACTTACACAGCCTTTCTAAACACTTCCTGTAAAGAGAGATCTAATGTTTATGTGGCAAATTCCCCCTTTTTAGCTGAATTTGCCACAAGTTCTTGGAGGGGACTACTTGCCAGCCTTTTACCCTGTGACTATGGCTCCTGCAATAGACCTGGCTAAACTACTTCAAACAGGCTCTGTTCATGCAATAGAGATTATATGGTTCGTTTATCGAACAACCGCACAAACAGAGACTAACCTGGAGCTTGTTAACACCTATTAACAACTTGGAATGTTTCTCACCACAGTGTACCGATTGTTTGTCTGGGTGGCCGCGATTCCTATGAACAACCACAAGACGGCGGCCATCTTGTTAGCATGAACGCAGGCAGCGGTGTTTGGGCCTGAATCATGAAACTGAAATCGGATACAGAAACTCCCGAACACCGCTGAACTTCCATCCTTGCCTGCGTTTGTTTCTATTCAGCTTAGAAGGGCACTGTTCGGTGAGATCATTCGTCTAGATGAAGGGAACAAGCTCTATCGACTCCGTTCGGTAATTTGTTCATTTGCAAACTACCGAACTAGACCAGCCGCAAGCCCCGATTCTCTGGAACTGTTTTGTTTTCTGTTTTGGGCATGAAATCATGCATGCGGTTGGTTAAAAGAGACTTCCAGGAATTTCCTGAACCCCTGATCTGATCTGGGTGATTTTTGGATATGTTGTTCACCCAGATCAGGGCTATCAGGGGATGTGGGATATGGGGATATGTTCTATTTTGGGGTACTTATTGGACTTTATAAAAATATGTGTTTTTTTTCTGTCTGGGGATAATTAAGTTATTGTATTATCTGCCTTATTTGTATCACAGGCAGAGGGGAGGGATTGTGTACTGTATGTGGGAGTGTCGTTCATTGTTACGTTGGCTTGTATACTTTGTGTCCTGTGCCCAACAAGGTCCACCTGGGTGTCAACCTTGTTGGGAAACTTTTATAAAAGGCAGTGTGCCTCCATTAAACTGATATTCCAGCTTACACTCCAAAACTGTGTGTTGTCCAGTTATTGGAGGGAGAGAAGATTTACTTCTGTGTCTGCTGTTCCAGCTTGCAGGGGATTCAACGGAGAAAGTCCTTGTAAGGACAAGAGCTAATTTCTCATTCAGCTCCAGGGCCCTAGTAAAGGCATGGCGACTGTGGGCAGAAGTGCTGCGGTTTGTCCCCTGTTCCAGCTAGGAAGCGGTCCTTAGCGGAGGTAACCATTCGGGGTTCAGGGAGCTCCGCTACAGTTTACACTTGCTTTGTAAAGCAAGTTTTGAACATGAAACCATTTTGTTTTCATGCAGGCTTTGTGAGTCACAGTCAGGGGAGGTACCAACTTTGCTTCTCCTTCTACATCCCATTACATATTAGAAATTCTGAGCACAAATATACATATATATATATTACTAATTGTGGGCCCTCTTCTCCATCCTATTGTTCCTCTTTTCTTGGAGCTCCATATTGTTTGTGTGTGTGTGAGTGTATAGCAGAGCTCCAGAGCATAAATACTCCCAGTAATGAGTCTTTAAACTACAATAAATGAAAGCATCACTCTTTGTCCATTTGAAATCATGGGAAGCATGTTTGACTAGTGAAGGCCAGTGGGAGGAGAGCGGTAAGAGATGCTCTGCGGTAAATAAAGCAGAATGGTCTTATCTAAAGTTTGAATTTCTCATTTTCGAGCACAATATTTAAAACATTCTCCAGGCAGCTTTTTTTAGTTTGGTTATTTTTTTCTAAGATTTGATATTCAAGTTGAAGTCACACTGAATTCCAGACAATTCACACTAGTGAGTACCCCTGATTATTCTTTCAGATACAAAAACACAATCTGAATTTATTGTACTTCTGCCTCAAAGTCACTACGAAACTGTGCTCTACGAGATTTACCATTAATGCAAAGTCACAAAATGAAACAAGGTAAAAGAAAACTTGGAGACATAATTTGCGGGCTTAAATAGTAGCATTTATTTTCTTCATATGAGTTCACACTGTGTACAGGAAAGGAATAACGACAAATAGAAAACAAACTTAAATATATAACCTAGGCTGTTTATTTCACAGATCAAACTTCAACAGAAAAATATAAAATACACAAGTTAAAAAAAATAATCAGATAGTGTTTTTAAATATTTCCCTTTATATATTAACTTAGCAATTGTTTGACACACAATGTCATTGAAACGTTTACATCATTTGGTTGCCCTGAGGATGTGCCCTCTCTCCTTGCACTGGCTTTAGTTATATCTCACGACCCTCAAAAAGAGTGTTTGTAAAAATTCCATTAAGACCAGTCGCTTTATAACCATTTAAAAAAAATCTGTCTAGATTCTTGAACCGGGGGGATTGGGAGGGGGGAGAGTTTGAAGACCTTTTACCACCTCTGGATCCCAAGTCAACAGCTTGTTTTCTGTAGTTGGGTAATCAGCACCAAACTAAAGCCATTGACAGCAAATCAACGTGTGACATTGAGCGGAGGACAATAATACTGGGAAGGAATTATCTTGGCAAAGCTTACAAACTACGCATCAGCAACAAGCTGTAGTGAGCGGTATAGGATTAGAGTTCCTTCAGACAAGTAGACAAGTAGTAGGGGGTTTGAGCAGCGTTAAAATACAGTTTTGCATATAGAAACCAGCCAGGTACTGTGATGTATCTACTGCCCTCGATAGGCACTTAAGGAGTTACAGAGAGGTAATAAAACAGATGTTCCACATGAAATAAAAAACTAAAGCAGAATAATGAGCAGAAGAATTCCTTGGCTTGTAAAACGTTCAGGCAAGCAGCTCTCGTAGTTTGTGAAATGCGTATGTCATTTCTATATTTATACAATAATTTTAATATATTTCACATGTCATATTTGAAAAATATTCTTATAAATGTTTTACAAAGTATCACAATAACGAAATAAAACCAACAGGCCTAAATTTTATATTAATCCCACATTTTCTATGCCAAGTGATCACCAAAGCATCGCAAAGCAATGAGTAATGAGAATGCGCTGGATTTGACCAAATATTTCTCTCTTCACTTTTTGTTTAATTCATTTTGCTAATTTAAAAATCACAAATTGGATGGATTGCACTCTGTACTTATCGACAAGAAAATAATCCATAATTTAACATTTATAAAACAAAACATAATTCCTGCTATTTATTTTCAGTGCAGTGCAATTATTTGACAAGTTAGTGTAAAGGTACACTAGCAACCTCTTATTGACTAGACATTTCATAATATCAAAGGATTTGTCCAATCACTGATCCTTAAATGGTTAAAGATAATAAAAAAAAATATAAAATAAATAATTATTTTTTTGTGTGTGTGTGTGTGATTTGTAGGCAGAAGCATTAGCAAATATTGAGCATATCCCATAATATTACACAATTTGTTGTTTTTATGCACGTCACTGAATAACTAGCTTAAACACTGATACTTTCTGTGATACCATAGTAAACCAGCACACATCCTGTGATGCTATAAGAAAACTCTGCACATACTACAATAATACATTAGATCATCGTAGACCTGTAACCGGGAACTTTTAAGTGTTGTAAGTGAAACAATTTTAGCCATTTAAAAAAAAAAAAAAAATCTTAACAAAAGTATCTATTTTAACAAGAACACAAAATTTTGCCTAAAGAGAATGATACATCTATGCCCTAGGTAGGATAAGCATTAATAGAATCACAATATATAAAAAAAAATAACAAATCAAGGCACAGCACAAAAAAAGGCTTGGCAGGATATTAAAAAATATTTATATTAAAAGACATACAAATATTCAGAATTTTATGGGAATAAAAATACCCAAGGTGCATTGACAGCATAAACGCAAACAGCTCGTACTGTTTGCTACTTCATATATATTTATTTTAAATAAATGGCTATTGTAGTTACCAGAGGTAGGCTTAGTAAAATGGCTGAATATTATTAGCTACCAGCTAATTGTCATATCCATGTCTGATGGTCCTCCAGCGCAAGTGACTGAACCGTGCTCCACATATTTCAGAGAACGTAATTTAACTGCTCATTTTAGCATTATAGAAAATCTAAAATCTTAAGAATATACTGGGGGAGGGGGTGAGGCATGAAGGGGCTTTGATTCAAGTTGGATGGATCACATTTATTTTAAAGCATTATGTAGATTACACTTTAAAAAATATGCAAAAAAATATTAAATAAATGCAAGAAAAATTACTCATTTTAAAGGTAATGCAGATCCCCAGGATTTGCATATTTTACAGTGAGTAGTCAACAAGCCAGGATATGGCTCAGCCAATCCAGACACTCTGTTTGCATTCGTTAGGAATGCTGAACGTATCTCATAAATTGCTGAACTTAATTTAGGAATCACTGTGCAGCAGGGGATTATGGGAGTTGTAACTCACCGTGTATGGTACAGTAATTTCTATTGTAAACAGCTGATAGCTGAACTACAACTACCAAAGATTCCTGCCGCACAGCATCTCAAGATACGACGACTATGTGTCATTACATAATTTACATATATGTTATTGGAGTAAAAATTGATAAGCTTCAGTTGGGGAAGGAGAGGAGTTGCAGAATAAGTGGGGTTATGAATAAAAAGTATTTATTAAAATTAGTAAATGGAAATCACTGCCAGCATTAATTAATTTTACTCTAACCTACACACTGTTCCTAACGTAGCAGGGTGCCGGAGGGTCCCTTTAAATGCTGTTAAAGGGAGATATGCACATGGAACGTAAGTTTCAGCAGATAAAATCTTGTCTTCGATAATTGACAGAAACATCGCATGCAAAGGACTATATTCTGAAACTTAATTCCTGCGTAATATAGACCTCTCTCGAGGAACAGCAGCACGAATTTAACAGGTACAATTAAAAAAAGTGCAGGTTCAAATGAAAAGCCCCAGCGACAAATATATTTTGTCTTGGATATGAAGATAATCAATTGAAAAGTGGGTTTGGAATTCAAACACTGCACCGATCTTTAATGATGTCTTCTACCACTTCCTGCATGTTTGCGCTGAAAAAGTAAACAGTCATTTAATTAAAAGCCCACAATATATCTTTGGTTGCCACTTAGGGCAGTTAATCTATCATAACTTTGTGCTAACCTATTGGCAAGCTAGCAGTTAAAATTATTTAAAAAATTCTTGTCATTTGAATATGTCACAATTTTAGGTGGCCTCACTGCCATGTTTATGCGGCTGATATGGGAACCCAGCAATTGGTAGGCTGGATTCTGTATACTATAGTTCAAGGTTCTAAGCCGCAGGGTCATCAGTCATGGGTTCCACATAAGTGCCCCATCATGTGGAGAGCACAGAGCGAAAGTCGGATACATGATTGTTACATACGGCTGTCATGCAATAGCTCGAGTGCTCGAAGCAGCAGTGATAATAACAAGTTTATTGTCAGAGGCCGCGGATAGTCGTGCTCTCTCTCGCCAGAGGAAATGAGAGGAAAAAGGCACAGACTGTGGCGGTTTAAGTGAATTTCACAATGTTTCACCAATGCACTTTGCTACATGGCGGCAGACAGCTGAACCTTTCCTTTTGAGGCAAAAACCTGTTTCGCCACTTCCGCACAGTTGCTTTTTTCCCGCAGTTTCTCCTGCCACTTGCAGAGTTCATACTCATGAAGGATTTTTTGGGTGAGATACTTTTCCCGTTTGATTCTCGCTTTGACCTCTGATGGGACGTCAGGAATCAGCCAGGCAACAAAGAATTTCACAACAAAAACAACGTGCTACAAAATACAAAAAAAACACAAGAAAGACCGGTTACATTGAATATTTATACACGCGTCTTCAAAATATGCCAATACTACAAGTTAAAAGATATACAGGGGAGAAATTTCATTTTTATGTTTTTACTTTTTTCTCTTCCACATTAGAGAAAAATGTTCTGCTCTATCGAGAGGACTATGCACTAAACTAGATAATCTCCAAAATTCAAACTATTTATTTGATAATTCCAAAATACAGCAACTTTGGTGTAAATTGAAAAGTTTTGTCTAAAATAGTCCAATTGAAAAAAAAAATCATCAAATCAGCAATTTTGTGAATTTGGATACTTTGAATTCACTTTTAATACCGACAATTCACATTTTAGTGAATAACCCAGCCGAAATTAAAAGGGCTCTCGTGAACGAGGAACACAATTTCTGATCTAACAGACCCTACAACACCTTAAACTGCTTGGAATAAAAAAATGTTACATAGACATGGTTATTCGCCAAACACTGATTTTATTAAATTTTCTAATTTCTAAATTTAGGCTAAAATAGCCAAGCTATCACTATGACAAAGTAGGAGAAATTTTATAAAGAACAGTTTTTACCTCAATTTTGCAATTTATATTTTATTTTACTGCAAAATGTTTCAGCTATTTTTTGAACTTCCATTCCATTTTGGCTTAGATACCAATTCCTCAATCAATTTCTGACAACCCCCAGAAATAACTCAGAGATGTAATATTAAATGACAAATACTCTTACAGTTATGGCTATAGGGAAATCTAAACATGTATAACATAAACAACATAACATTCAGGGTTTTTAATACAGTCATTTTACTGCAAATAACTTAACAACATATTGATCAATATTTGCACATACAATTAGGATATCTACAAACCTCCATAATGATTATGAAAGCCATTTTTGCGGCAAGGATATGCCAGTACTGCATTGTGTGCAAATACTTTCTCCCGTGGTCAGGCGGATAGCGATAATCTCGGTATCTGTGAATGTAAATAGAAATAAATGTAAAGAGGGAAATTGAGGAAACTCAAAACACCATAATGACGTATGCTATGCAAATATACAGCACTATTATTTTTTTTTTTACTTTACTTGTCTCACCATTTCCTTTTGAAAGTTAAAGTCAAAATAGTAGTAAATAAGGTACAAGTGGATTTTGCAAAAAAAAAAAAAACATGCATTTTATACCATGCAAAAAAAATATATACCTAAAGGGTTACTCCAACCACCATGACCACTTCTGTTTTTTGGTGGTAGGAAAACACTGAACAGCTTGAAACACTGAAAACCAAAAGTTACTTTTAATTGTGTGTCGGGGACTAGTTGCTCCACCAGCACACATGACTTAAGCAGCCTAGAACTCTGTTCCGGACTGCCTAATGTCAATTCTATGGATAAATTAAGTCTGTGAGTCAGTGCGCACTGCACACAGGCGACAAACCTCCACTGCTTTCCCCTTAGCAGAGCCTGCAAGGGGAAGCCCGTATTTCCCCTCCCTCCCAAAATGATTGCAGTTCCCCCTCCTTCCTTTCCCATCTGATGTTTTAATGGAGCTTGAAGCACGTACATGCACTCTGAGTCAGTTGAATAGTCTAATCTATGAGAAGCCTTTAATTGGAGCTCCATGTGCCTCTAGTAAAGTTAGACGATTGAGGTACTTTTCTGGGGGGGGATTTAAAGAATAATGCCCAATAGGACATTATACAACAACAACAACAACAACAAAAGGTTGGAAAAACTCTTTAATTTGTAAATCTATGCTTTGAGTGATGGCTTAAATACAGCTACAGCTAAATGTTTATTGACCTAATCTTTCTTCTTGAATAAAAGGGAATCATGACGGAATATTTCCGTCATGTGTCCATAAGGGGTTAAGGAGTTCTAGGCAAATGTGGCAAATATCCCAAGATCTTTTTTTTTATTTTTTTATTAAAGCTTTCCAGAAATCTGGAACTGTAAAATACCAGCATTGGAAAGCAGTCTCTAAAATTCGGGATTTAATTTAAAATGTATCAAAGTCAGTTAGAGCCCCAAGTTGACTATGCTTAAATCTAAATACATGTTACAAGCATTTCACAAACCTGCAAGTGGTTATGTTCATTTCATTTTCTATCGGCATACTATCATTTGAAAAATCAACAACGTCGAAAAATGACAGGCTGCTGTTAATGTATCCCGACATGCGAGAATCCATGTTTTCCGTATAAGCGTAGAAATAGACCAATCGTGGAATCATGTCTGACGTAAAGGCAACAATAAACGCCTGGAATACAGAATGGAATTAATGAAAAAAAAGTTACACATGTATTTAAGAACTTAAACCAAGCACTAAATAGTTGATGGAGGTGACCTAAAAACCAACTTTGCCAAAATTTAAAGCAGACAAGCCCAAAATGGGAATACAGGTAAATTGGGGATTTTTTCAATGTCTGATATTTTAGTCCGAATTTTGCAAATGTTGCATTTCACCACGATTCATGGTTTACTGAAAAAAAAAAAAAAAAATATTTTGATTTAATTTTTTTTTTTTAGAATCAAAACATGTTTTTTTTTTAATTTTAATTAGCATTTACCATTAAAGGATTACTCCAAAAAAAGGACAGTGTTTTTATAACATGGTCACAGAGTAAACCTTGCTGTGGTGGTCCGCTCACCAATGCAAAAAAATTTAAACAAACAAACAAAAAAATAAAACACAACAACAACAAAAAACACAAACCTTACCTCCGTTCAAGTACTGGAGGCCAAGTTCTTCCTGCAGCCCAATCCTCATCTACTGACATCACTCCCTTTCACTGAAGGTTGAGGTATGTCAAGGAGGACATGAGCTGCATGGAGAGGGCCATGCTGCCATTGGCAATCTGGGGCCAGATTGAATGCCTAGCCAATGGTGACCCAATGATGCATATCTTGAAATGCCTAGCCAATGGTGACCCAATGATGCAACCAGAGGTAGCTTACACCTCCAGCAGCAGAGATGTTTGAAATTGTATGTGCAGCATTTCATAGCAAAACTCTGCGCATACAAACTCCAGGAACTATGAGTACTTCAAATCAGTAAAGTGGTTATGGTGCTTGACTTAACCCTTTAATAACATATGCAAAAATAAACATATTACAAAGTATTGTATTATAACAAGCAAAAAAAAAAAAAAAAAACAAGAGAAAAATATACCTGTAACTGAATATTTTGTTTCACGCATTTTTCTGACAATCTCCCAAAGGAATTGCTTATCATGGCTGCCATTTATTAATAAACATTTGAAATAGATTATAAGAAATATTTTATTGACACAACTCTACATATTGTTCATTTATCATGCACCAAGAAAGCCTTTCCCTTACTTACATTGGTTACCACGGACAGGACAGCCATCCCGTTTAAGATTTCTTGCCAGACGCCAATGCTATGAGCTTTGGAGGCTATTGGTCTTCTGAACTGTGTGGTCAGCTTCCATGAGTCCACGCGAATTTCCAGGATGTTGTTTAAAAGAGCAAGAAGTGGAGCCAGTGGAAAAGAAGCCACAAACAGTGTAATAAATCCAAACTGAATCACTAGAATAGAAGAACAGAGAGCCATTAATGGCACACACGGACAAGGGAAGCTCTTCATATATTTATACCAATATTTGCACTCACCCATTTCAAGATACTCATAGAAAAGTCCCAGAGGTCCAAAAGTCTGCAAATCATAGTCCTGCTCCCATCGGCTGTACAAATCTTCTGGGTTATTCCGGGCTTTTCTGCTTCCCCACCAATTTAAAATATATCTGAAAATAATACAATGCCTTAGATATCGTAACCCGAACAAAGCCAACATTTCCATAAATCAGAACATACCCGAAAAAAAGACAAGCACCCCAAAATAACTAGTTAGAAAAAAAAATAAAATCAGATTGTATGCAGGATATTACTCATACTTACGGGACAATTGCCTCTTGAATATTGCCCCAGATCTGCTTCCCAGCCATGACAATTGTGAGTTGGGTGGTGAGTTCAATAAGACAACCAGCTGGATCACACTATATGGGGTACACAATTGTTACATACCATTTATTCTTTTTTGTATAGGTAATTCTGTTATTCACCTACAGTATATTTAGATTTAATAATTTACTAAATATATAAGGAAGGAAAAAATGAGATTTACACTAAAAGTGAAAAATCCGTAAATAAATAAATAAATAAAATATAACAGGTAATATATGTAAAAAAAAAAAAAAAGAAAACATGAATTGCTTTTTCTCTTCTTTCATTCAATTACAACATGGAAGGATTTGGAGGAAGTTTCTGGAATATTTGAATATGTCGTAGATAAAACTAAGGGCATTAGAATCAGTCTGAGTGAATAACTGATTAGATCAATAACCCAAAACCCAAATCAGCTCTCACCTCTTCATTCCTCCAGACATTAAACATGTAGGTGTATTCCGCAGGGTAGCCAACAAACTTTCCCTTGAAGAAGGCCACATAGAAGCAAGATGAGTAATAATTAACAAACTGGAAGAGGAACATTTTCATAGTGAGTCGGTTTTCATATTCCAGATGAGTTCGGGGGATTTCTGTGAGGAAAAAAATAATAATTTTTGAAAAAAAATAAAAATAATTGACTTTACATAGCAGACTGCTTAAATGAGGTTATAATTCGCCCTCTGCTGGACAACAGAAAAAATACAGAAAAAAAAGTAAATTATTCTAACTATTCTAAACAATATAAACGATATAGAAACATAGGTGTATGTTACAATATTTTGAAGCAAAAAAAAAACAAAACATACAGCTCTGTGCACATAAACATACTTAGGGAAAAGTAGGGAAATCCCTCTTCTTTTGATGGTATACAATATTTATTTCTTTGACAATATGAAATAGAAAAAGGAATATATAGTGCAAACTGTAAAAAATACCAGGAATAAATGGTAAGAGCCAAACTCACATTTGACAGAGCCATTTCAGGCTCTACAGGTATCACTCAATGGGGCCTCACCAGGCCTCGGAAGATCTTCCATCAACAGAACAGTGATTCACCTACTGTTGGATCCTATAGATGCATTTTTATGTGCACAGAGGTTTAAGTGTATGTTTTTTTTTGTTTGTTTGTTTTAAATCATGCAGTAAGTCCGAGTCTACAGAATGCTCAGTGTACATGTTATACAGTCTGTACAATTTCTTGGAGTAATATTTTTCCTGGAGAGCATGTTGGATATAGCATTCGTATGCACAGCTGACCTTTTGGTGAATGCAACATACACCAGCATTACAAACTGTAATTAACAGGTACTGCTTGCTTCTAACAGACTTTCTGTGATGGTAGAAACAGATAATAAATCACATAAGAATGATGGCCACATCAAAAGTCATTGAAAATTTGCTGAAAAAAAAAATATCCATCATATTAGTTAAGGCTTACAAATGGTCTGATCGCAAAAGAAGGAGACTCATTATGAGTGTATTAAGAATCTTGTGCAGAAATATAAACATATACTCTACATCTGGGCTTTTTATAGACTTGTGCAAAGGTGTTCTGCTGAATAATTTTTCCCGAAATTGATATTTTTCTCAGGATGTCTGACACTTTTGTTATGGTTAGGTTCCGCCAAATATCGCCCATGGAAAAATATTCAGGGAAACATTTAGACAAAATAGGTAATCAGTGGTCTGCAAAATATAGACATAATATAAATATATACAGAATATCAATATTGGGTATATATTTTGCAGTACACGGACTGGCACCTTTTCCCACCATTTGGTTCACAGTTCTGAAGAGGAAAAATACTGCATATACTCGAGTATAAGTCGACCCGAATATAAGTCGAGGCCCCTAATTTTACCACAAAAAAATGGGGAACTTATTGACTCGAGTATAAGCCTAGGGTGGGAAATTCAGCAGCTACTAATAAATTTCTGAATAAAATTAGATCCCAATAAAATTACAATAATTGAATATTTATTTACAGTGTGTGTATATAATGAATGCAGTGTGTGTGTTTGTGTGTATTGTGTGTATATAATGAATGCAGTGTGTGTGTATATAATGCAGTGTGTGTTTGTATGAATGTAGTCTGTATGTAATGAATGCAGTGTGTGTATATAATGCAGTGTGTATATAATGCAGTGTGTGTGTATATAATGCAGTGTGTGTTTGTGTGTGTAAACTGGGTGAGGGGAGGGCATTTTTATTATTTAAATTTTTTAATTTTAATATTATTATATTTTAATATTTTTATTTTAATATTATTATTTTAATATTTTTTTTATTTTTTATTTTATTTTTTTGGGTCCCCCCTCCCTGCTTGTTGCCTGGCCAGGAAGGGGGGGGCTATGTGAATCCCTGGTGGTCCAGTGGATGGGCTGTGCAGTGGGGGGGCTGGCAGCAAGCTGTTACTTACCTTCCTGCAGCTCCTGTCAGCTCCCTTCTCCTCTGTGCAGCTCCCCTGTCAGCTCCAGTCTGCTCCCAGTGTAAACCTCGTGGTCTGTGTGCCGCGCGGAGCATTGCCACGGTAACCTGTGGCAACGCTCTGACGGCTGCGAGTGTCGCGAGATTTACACTGGGAGCAGAATGGAGCTGACGGGGAGCTGCACGGAGGAGAAGGGAGCTGACAGGAGCTGCAGGAGGGTAAGTAACAGCTTGCTGCCAGCCCCCAACAGGACCACCGGGCTTGCAATGAGCCCAGCGGTCCTGGTCTGTATTATGGCAATGTAAGTTGCCATAATACAGACATTGACTCGAGGATAAGCCGAGTCAAAAAAATGTGCCGAAAAACTCTGCTTATACTCCAGCATATACAGTAATAGAGGAAAAAAAATAATAATTGCAGTAGTAAAAAAATAAATATATAAAGAGTTTACTGAACAGCTGTTTGGCCCAAATTATAATGCACCAACAGACTTAAAACTAATGTCAAAATTTACCCATGTCTGTAATCCAAATTGCGACCCGCTCATATAAAAAGTTCAAAATCATGATAATAATGAAGTTCAGGCAGGATGCAGTGACGGATGTAGCAAGCTGTGGAGTTAAAAGGCTGCTGACCGGCCGGAGAGCATCGTTGTTTTCCATAATGCTGGCAAAGGCGGCGTAGACTGCGAGACGATATACTATAACTGCGATCATACTGGCTATAATCAGTGAAATCTGCAGCAAAAAAAACCCAGACATGTTAACATGTTATCATTTGTATGTGTTTTCTATTCATGCATCGTTCCAGTGTAATAGTGTTAACCTTGTAATATAGCTTTGTGAATGCAGGAATGTATTAAACGGTGACGCGTTTCACACACCCAGCGCTGGAATAAATGAACTTATTACATTATCTAAATCAGGTCTCAGGAGTGGGGGAGTTTAATGGCATGGGGTCAGAGGGGGAGGGGACCAGTCCACCCCGGGGTGCTCTGTCACGGAGGCTTCAGAGCGGGTGCAGAAGGAGATGCAGGTTTCACCCAGCTTCCTTGCACATCCTGTAGTTGTACTAGAGCCAGGATAAGATGCCATCCCAGCATCAGTACAGAGCTGCATGAACTGGGTGATCAGGACAGAGACTAATCTCCGCAGCTCCCTCCTGGACACCAGGGATGGTTGTTTGTGTATGATTCTGTCTGTATGTATACCAACGTGTGTGTCTGCGTACATGTGTGAAGGTATAAATGTAATTACATGTGAATGTGCAGGTGTGTGAAATGTCCCTATCAAAAGGGGGTGGGAGTTGCAGAGGAAGATATAATTATATTTTTTTCTTTATAGTTGGGACTAAACGAATGATCCCATAATATTCAGCTCATTGCCTTGTGTGTATATATCTATCGCCGTAGCTAGGAGGGGGTTTTGTGGGATGTAGCCCCGGATGTGGGACTCTTTAGTCTTGGTCACTACAGGTAGATGAGAGGGCAGTGTTTTTTATGTTTAGTTTTACAGCAGGCAGCAGCTTCATAAAGCAGGCATCTGATGTAAAAAGACAGATCACAGTACAGTGCTCCTCAAGGCTACTAAGGAGTAAGGGACTGTGCTGCACACCCATCTATTAGTTGGGTATTGTGGAGGGATGACATTAAAAACCTGGCTGTCCAGCATTAGATCCAGGAAGGCACAAAGAGTACGCTGAGGGTAGAGGGGGGCATAACAGAGAGGCGAGATAGGTCATGGCACCCCCACTCTCGTGTTGGGGCCAACGAGTTTTCCTTTAGACTCAAGTCCCATGTGTTTCTGGAACCTAGCAATGCTTTGTATATTTGTGTCTAAAGCACACAGCCAAAAACAGATCTGAAATTTTCTAAATTCAGCATGCTCTCTCCAATCTAGTATTTAACATTGTGCTATCATACATGTTTCTGCATGTAAAACAGTGTGTTCAACAAACCTTGACACAAGGTGGTAAAATATACATTCCACAACTTTCACCAGAAAATGGGGAGATTTACTATCGCAGCACAAGAAGGAGGGGATAATATGTTGCAGAAAATTGAATTATCCTCATCCAATACATTGTACATATTTCATGCTCACTGTATGAAATAGGTAAGTAGGCATACTGTTATAGTATGCACCCATAAGTGGGGCAGTAAATGATATTGCAATTTCTTAAAAAATTTGTTTAAACAAAGAAAAACTTCCAAAAAAAAATAAAAAATGAAAATGATCATTTTTAATTAGGGCTACGTTCTCTCTTTCCAATAAGAAATAATATCAATAGTTAATATTTTGTATTTATGTGCTGCGTTAATACATTTCCCTCTGTACATTTAGGGCCCAGTTTAAACTATAGCATTAGAACATCCTGTAAAGCATTTAATATCACACTGCAAAGAGTATTGCGCTTTCCTATAAAATAGTCCAATACTAATAAACAATGACTGCCTTACAGTTTGACATGGGTTGGGGGGGGAGGGGGAGGAGAGTGGTGGATTTGACATAAAAGATCACAGACACCAGAAAATACAGAGCATCTCTTATGTCCAGCAACTAAATGAAAGAACTATATTAAAAATAAAAGAATAATATGGAAGTAAGCACAGGGTTGTTCGCTAAACTAAGAATTCAAAGTGAAATTTAAATTTAAGGTCAAAATAGCTGGACTAGAAAAATTCTCTAAGTCAGCTATGTTTTCCGGTCTGGCATTAGTGGCATTGAAGCTGAAATTCACTTTGAATTCTCATTTTAGTACATAACGCTTTCAGAGTCACTTACAATAATGGACAAATTCCCCTCCCCACCAAAAATTAAATTTAAATATTGGACTCACCTCATCCCAAGTAACAATCTTCTCTTTGTAATGTAAAGAGTGTGATGTAACATTATAGATTGTGTTCTTATTATGAATGTAATATGAATTCTAGCAGAGAAATATGCAGAAACATGCTTTACTTTTATAACTTTGGTCCTTTTTGGCACTTACACTCCAACCTTTCTTTTTGTGAAGGGGTTATTATAAATGTCCTCATGGGCCCTGCTGTTTGCCTCCTTCCCCCTTCATCTTGTAGTAAAATATGTACAAAATAAAAAGAGATTTTTTTTACTCACCTGGAATCCAACGCCGGACGATGCTCCCAGCGCTGTCTTCCACACCTCTGATGTCAAAGTGCTCTGTGCGGTCCAATCACAGGTTTCTCATAGAGTGAGGCAAGGTAGGGCGGGAGTGGGAGGTAAAAAGATAAAAAGCAAACACTATTGGCCTTAAAGAGAGGCCGGAAGGGCTCAATGAATGGAGTTGGGATGTCATCATGGTTTCATTTCTCCTTTTCTCTGTACTGACTGCCAGGTGCATAGGGTGGAGCTTATAACTGACTGACAGGAAACTAAGTTCCTAAACAGAGCAGGGTGGAGTTTCACACCTCACAAATACAAGTTTATTATCCCTGACTTAAACATCCTTCCTTAACACTTCCTGTAAACAGTGATCTAATGTTTACACTTCCTTTATTGTAAATTCTGTTTAATTTAGAATTTCTTATCTCCTGCTCTGATAATAGCTTGCTAGACCCTGCAGAAGCCTTCTGTATGTAACTAAAGTTCAATTTACAGAGCAGGAGATAAATACTTTTAAAGTAAGTTACATCTGATCTAAATATTAAGCTATTTTTTTTCCATGCAGGTAGATTCAGATACATTCAAGGAAGGTGTGGCTAGAGCTGCATAAACAGAAACAATCATGATTTAACTCCTAAATGGCAGATAATTTAGCAGTGGGACTTCAGAGGCGTGATCTAAACACCAAAACAGCTTTATTAATCTTAAATTGTTTTGTTGACTATAGTGTCCCATTAACCCCTTAAGGACACAACCTCTGGGATAAAAGGGAATCATGATGGAATATTTCCGTCATGTGTCCTTAAGGGGTTAAATAAAGGAAAAAAGTTAATATATTGTGAAGAATCCTGAGAAAACTGTTTCCATTGAAGATGAATATTTCCGTAACATTACTAAATTTATAATACAGTGCGCTGTACATGGGCTGCAGTGAGGAGTACCCAAACTTCCAATAAACTGCTATCACAGGAACGCAAATCCTTTTTCTAACATGTCAGATCAATCTTTGTGCACACTGAAATAATTATGCAATTTCTTTTTATTTCATAGGATCGTAAGAGCTAAATAAAAAGTATTTTACAACCTTTCTTATATTCTACAAAGCTGCTTTTTTTAAATTAAAATTTTTTTAAAAAAAACTGAACATTTGTGCATTACATTCTTATTAATTGTAGCTAGTTAAAAAAAAAAATGTATTTGTGTTTTTTATCCCATGTTTAAACTGGGCGACCAAATATTTGCAAACACACAGATCAACCACAAATGCAAGAGACGATGCAGACAAGCTCCCAACACGACAAATAAAAACAAGAAAAGACAAATGTTAAGGACTTATTAGAAGAAGGTTTATGCTCACCCAGAATAACACCGTAGCTCCAGAGAAGCAGAACCTTGCAGCCTTGCTAGTAATGGGCAAATAAGGCTCCATCTCCTGAAACAGTGAAAAGCAAGCAAGGCCACAGTTCACCAGAAAGTAAGACACCAAGTCCCATCAAGAGAAACACATGGCACTGCCAAGCACTGAGTGAAAGTGAAAGCTCCATCGAACCCACCTGGCTCTTTACATATGGCAAATGTGCAGGGATACAAGCTACCACTAGAGGGGGCTGTAAGACAGTGTCTATCGTACACTATCCCATTTAAAAAAAAAAAATTAAAAAATTTTGTTTTCCCCTACAGGATGCATTGCCCAGCCACTTTGACATCTGATTTGGTGGAATAATAAATGTTTGATCATAAATGAACAATTTACGTGGTGGACTATTCGTGGCAAGTCAGGACAATCTGAAAGTATTGTTATTTAAGTATTTCCACTATAAACATTCCATATACATTAAAATGGATGTTACCGAAAGGAAACAAACTACTAACCATTATGTTATGAGTGGTTAATAAAGCTCTTATACGCATTTATTACCACAAAAACAGAGTCTAGCATTTATTTATCTTTTTAGAAATGATACATTATAAGGACAGTAAGTATATTTATAATATATTTTATACTCTTTTACTTATGGGTAGGTAACAGGTAAATAATGCTTCTCCTTTTTGGTTCCCTGAGAGTTACTGAAGCGTTTGGATTAATGGTAGGGTAGGATATGAGCCATTTCCCTTTATTTAACAAAAACAAAACCTTTCCTCATTGGGGGGCATAAACGGTTTGTCTTATTTTTATTTCCTAGGATTTTAAGAATGCTGAAATAAAAGTATATTTATATTAAATAATATTTTTAGTCAACTAATTGTCCTCACGTGGTTTTATTTTATTTTTGTTGGAGTGCCACTAGGAGTAGAGGAGGTTTGCCTTGTCCAAACGCATGGCTCTGAGATACTGGAATTGGTGTGTTAACCACTGAACTCTTTTGGGGTTTACTATTCGTGCCTTTGGCAAGTTCTACCATGTTTTGGATTCTGAAGGGAATTGACCCCTTTTGGGAGACTCTAAAGTACTGGCTAATAAATATCTATGCTATTTACCTTATTGTTTACAATTTAGACTCTCTTTATGCAGTTTAATATTTATACTACAGTCTGGGAAAACCAAAAACTGCATTCAAGGGATGTATAGAAGGTCAACAGGCTGTTGAGTCACGTTTTTTTCCTTTCTTTACATTTTGTAGACACAACCAAAGGCTTATATAAACCATAAAATGATCTACAAATATGATTTTTTTTAAATGGTTATCCTCTGATAACAGGTCCATTTTATAACCCATAAACCTATAATCGTACCCAAAAGAAATTGGTTTTCATAAAACGACCCAAAGTGAACTAGAGAAAGGGAAGGTTTGAGGAGCATTTCGTAATTTCACTCAGCATCAAGACTGTTATAAACACCCCAAAATCTGAGTTTGACCAAACAGTGAGGTTAATAGTGTTAGTTTTTATTTCTTCCAGCGATGATTTTCTTCGCTTTTCTTACCCAAAATACAATGGACATCCAGCACAAGAACAGTTTTCCAAAGAAATTTACAGCACTTCTCCTCATAACCATCTCTATTTCCTACAAATGTAGAAATGCTAATGTGTAATAAGAATCACATCATCGTGGAGTCCATGAGGAGAAAAAAAAAAAAAAAATACAAAAAAAATATATATAATAATTCGCCACATTCTCCATGTTACTCGGTATCTGGAAATGTAACATTCACATTATTTCCATTTATCTCAAAAACATATAACTAGAAAAACGAATTAAAAAGTGGAGGTTTATTCACTAAACCACTGAGAATTGATGAGAAAATTCTGTAACCAAAATAGTTGAACTGGAAAGATAATCTAGTAAGGAAAACAAATCCACCTCAAGTTTTGTAAAAAAAAAAAATTCACTTTGTCAACTTTTTCAAAATTTTTGGTTTAATGAATAAAATCTCACTAAATCTGCAGTTTCTAAAAATCAAAAGTTAGTGATTAGTTCCTCAAATAATAAAACGTTCAAAACAAAATGGCTATAAAAAGGCATATGAACAAGATCTGTCTATTGTCCCCATCAGGTACAGTAATTATATAAAGTTGACACAAGAATCAAACTAACGATGTACAGAACTCTTAACCTGCACATTCTTCTCTCACAGAGCAAACTACTTAACCCACTATGTTGCATAGTCCCCCCCCTGGAATAAATCACTAGGAGTGGATTCATTTAAATTTGAGGTGCCAGGTGTGACCGTACAACAAAATCGCCTAAAGTTGGACAATAACTCTGCATTGACATCTGCACATGAAACACGCAGCAATCAACTATCACTTCCATAAAAAAGGGGATTGGCAGAGAACCCCATTGATGGGGTCAAATGTATCACATGGATCCCAGTAAGGTGGGAATGCATGCTACATTGTAAATGGCTAAGAACTACATACAACCAATCAACACATAAATAAATACATTTAAAAATGGTGAGATTGGGGACATATAGGGAATACAAATTTTGTTACACAGAAGAAACCGTCTGAATGGCTAAATGGTTTGCTTCTGTTTTTGTTGAATTTTAAATACCTCTTGCCAGCCATGTTAACACCAATTAGTGGGATCTCAGACTGGCCAGTCCCTTAGATGGAATGAATGACTGTCCATTCCCAATTTTCCATAGAGTTATTAAAAAGGATTGGAAAACGGAACATGCTAACACTATTACTAGGTCTTCCTGAAAGATCTCTATACATTTGTTCTGGCAGATGAACTGAAAGAGCTAATCTGACCTTTTAAAAAGGGTGCTATATCACCACGGCCACTGGAGGGAGCCATCAAGTCACATGGGTAAACATTACCTGAGTAACAGGGTTCTTCCGTTTCTGAGTACATTTCACCTCGTATTCTGGTCTAAGCTGAAGTTGTTGTTGCTCCTCTTCAAAGTCAACCAGGTCCCATTCGTACTCCAGTCTGGCCTGCCTCCGTTTCCAAAACTCCAGGAACAGCGTAACTGTAAAGCACATCAACTTATACAAAGCTATATAGATCCTAGTGCAAGGACCAGAAGTTGCGCAGAACCAAGTGCAAGCACCAGAAGTTGTGCAGAACCTAGTGCAAGCAGCAGAAGTTGCGCAGAACCTAGTGCAAGCACCAGAAGTTGCGCAGAACCTAGTGCAAGCACCAGAAGTTGTGCAGAACCTAGTGCAAGCACCAGAAGTTGCGCAGAACCTAGTACAAGCACTAGACAATATGCAGATCTTAGAAGGTTAGTCACTAAGCAGAGAATTCAAAGTGAATTTCAAATTTAAGTCAAAATTAGCCAAAAAGGAAAGATTCTCAAAGTCAGTTATGCTTTCAATCTAACTACTATGGCATTTAATTTTAAGCTCTTTTAGAATTCTCACTTTAGTGAGAGCACCAGTAGTTGTGTAGATCCTAGTGCAAGCCCGGAAGTTAGACAGATGCAAGAAGCACTATTTTTGAGAGAAAGCACTTTTCTTATTAACTCATTAATGCTGGATAAAAGAAAAATAATACAACTTTTCACAAAATAGCGTTGCTGCTGTTGATCTAAAACCGTCAGTGAACAGATACGACGACTGTCTTGTTTTGTTTATTTTCCTAATATTATGTGCCTTTACATTATGTTGGTGTAGGATTTCTTGACAGTACCCAGATATATGAAAGTAAATTTGTGATATTATGCAGGCAAGAGGAGGAATTACAAATTAATTTCTGAACGCAATCATTGTGGTTATTACGTTTTATAATTCATTTTTTTACTGGAAACTCTTTCTCCAATCACCAAACACTGCTAGATATGATTCCCCATCACACTGCACATTTTTATATTGCATCATAATGAAGCAGTGTCAAATGTACATAAAAAAAATATAATAAACTCTGGTTTGCTGGACAGGGTTTTAACGACTTGCTGGTCACAAGGAGACCTTGTGGGAGGATCGCATACAGCAAGGACCGTGTGAGAGAAACCACTTGTGGCTCTGTTAGCAGCCACTAGAACCTACCTCCAGCATAAACTCATACACTGGCCACAGATTAGCAGCCTAGTGGTCAACGACCTAACTAATGCTTTGTGGATTTGAATACTGCATTCCAAATAGTCCGAAAGCTCTGGAAGTCATTATGTATGGTTGTTGTGGCTTTTTACTTTATTATAATTATTGTAAAAACAAAAAATGACAAACTCTTCTCTTCAGAGTAAAGAATACCACTGTAATTAATGGTAAGGTACAGGGCAGCTGGCCAAGGTGCCGATGAAACCCTGCCAATGGCTATTTTATAATATAAGATAATCTATTTTAGGAGCTTTGATTTAAAGCAATGTTGTGCTTTGAAGCTGTGTATTCCAATGGAATTTAACTTGGCATAAGACCACAACTTGAGAAAGGGGTCACCACAAACACATGGGGCCACTATTGCTGGTGAAAGTATATACACACCCTCTCAGATTTCAAAGGTTTCCTTACAGATCCAACCACCTAACCATATATCAAGTTGTAAATATAGTCAACTACTTACCCCATATTCCCATAAATATTGCAAAGAAAAGCGTGGCCACGTTGTCAAACATATGGGAATACTGCATGAAGCAGAGAAAGTGGTTAGAATGAATACCATCACAAATGACAAAACAAAGGCTCTCTAATGAGGAGACCTACCCGTGACGGTTCACACGTGGTGTTTAACTTCCAGAATTCACATGTCTTGTCACAAAGTGGACACATGATGATCTGCCCTCCAATGTCAGGGCTACAAATCTCCTTACTGAAGAAAAAATATGTGATAAGGTTCTAAAGGATACAATCGGCATAATGGTGACATTTCCAGAAGTGCAAAAAAGGAACAATTAGTCTGGGGTTGGTCAAAGGAGAAAAGACTAAAGCAAAATAGGTAAAAACCAAATAAAAACAACAGCTCTTTAGATAAAGAAAAAAAAAGCATAGAAAGGCCTCAAGTTAACATTGTTGGATAAGTTTTCCAAATGATGTAAAATTCACTTTTAAAATTCTATATATCTCAATATATTAAAAAAAAAAAAAGCTTACCCAAAATATTAACTCTTTTAGAAAGCTTATCCAACATCAAATTAACGTCTAAGTAAGAAGAAACACTTTCCTGTTTCATCCTATCAGCATCCCTCTTGCTGGGTAATAGTGTATAATCTAGACGCCCATGAAAACAAATATTTGTCTAATATCTTGTATTCCAAAAAAGAAATCTCACCTGCCGAGATTATCGTCCATTGTAATCCAGCCATACAGGAAACAGAAAAAGCCAACAACCGCTGCATAAAACAGCATTTCCGTATAATATCCCAGCCAAGCAAAATAAATCCCAATCTTTTCACCATAGTATTTCCTGGACAAACGTAAAAAAAAGAAAAAAAGTAATTCCATAAATTAATGACGAAGAAAACATTTAAGATAAATGGTCTTGATCATACTAAAGAAATCAGTGGGGGTTCCAGGTAGGTTAAAAGAAAGCAAGAAAGAAATAGAGAAAACAAAAACAAAAAAAACATCTTCTACAAACCAACTGAGTAGTCTAGTCTATTCATGGCAAGTTGTAAGAAGGGGTGAAACCGTGAAAGAACTCTTTAGAACTTAGAAAAGGAGGAAGAATTGTGTGAACATCAAGGAAACTGGTGAATGAAGTTGGGATATGAGAAGGGCTTTCAATGGGCAAAAGACAAAGGATGCAGGAGAGAATTGGTTTAAAAGTAGACATTAATGGCCTCTGAGAGTCTGGTAGAGGACCCTGAATTTTGGGGAAGACTTTCACACTCACCGGATAAGATCTAGAGGTTGCTCCTTGTAAAATCTTGCAAATTTGGCCCACTGTGAGTACAAGGTGAATCTCTCACTGTGACACAGTTCTTCCTTTGCTTTCTTCCAATACTGACACTGTATAGACAATAAATACATTATATACAATAATTAGTGTCTATAAACACACACACACACACACACACACAAACACCGCATCCTCCACCCTCGCAGCCTCAATACTGGCACATCCCGGTCACTGCTGGAACTCTTCAATTGCTCTCCTTGACGCTCTCATTGTTTCGACCCTTGCCTTTTTCATCATTAACCCTAGCAATGCTTACCTTTTTAGACAATCATATACTCTTGCATACTGATTAACCCCATGTTTATAATCCTCCAAAGATCATAATTGAACTCAGAAACCCAGATATTCCGATGTAGAAATAACCCACTGATTTTAAGCTTTCATTAGAAAAGAAGATTGTCATTCGTAACTTTAATGCCACATACATAAAGACGTACTGTTGAGCGATACATACATCATGAAGAGGGTAAGCTGAGGTGTATGTCCCGTTGTTTTGAAGTCTTTTAATGCCAAACTTTTTCTTTCCTTCCTCTGTTCCATATGGACAACGAGAGAGGATATAATACACCTACAAAACATTATAAAACACATGGAAAAACTGGGAAGAACCTTGGCCTAATGATTAATGTATATTCTCAAAAAAATTATACAAGATGGTTTGAACAAGAAACCAGTATTTGAAGACTGGTTATTCTAATAGCTCTCAGGGCCAGATATCACATTAGGCATACTACACACGTCTACAGGAGCCTGACCACTAGGGGTGCCTGTTCCCAGCACTTACAATGTGCCTTTTCAAGCTTAAATAGTATGGTGGAGCAACAAGTACCAAATGCTTTGGTCTGTGTACCATGTAGTCCAAATAGAGCTGCAGGAGTGATTCTAGAGGGTGTAAAACTCAGTGCGGTCTAAGCTTCTCCAGCGTCTTAGTGTGAAGCTGGACAGTAAGTGGAAGGGATCACTGCCCATCTGCCCACTAACACACTCTCATACATGAAATGCCTTGCAGGAGGAGCAGGGAAACAAAGATGCACACTGTATAACAACTCCTGCAACTCTAATAGAAACATAGAAACATAGAATGTGACGGAAGATAAGAACCATTCGGCCCATCTAGTCTGCCCAATTTTCTAAATACTTTCATTAGTCCCTGGCCTTATCTTATAGTTAGGATAGCCTTATTCCCATCCCACGCATGCTTAAATTCCTAATATCAATCTGACTGGACTACATAAGACATAGGAGGTGAGAACTTTGCAAATATACCCTTTAAACTCCAGCAGTCAAACCCTAGACCTGAAATTAGACAATTTACCTTAATCATATGTTTAACTCCTCTTAAAAACTAAACCTCATGTACCCAGATGCTAAATTTAACCCAATTCTAACCCTAAAGGTAATAATACAAAACAGCTTTTATACCACAACTTCAACCCCCTCAAGCAGTGGGTACCTTTTGTGCCTACAGGCAACTGACATGTAAATCTGACATATAAACCCTGCTAGCTCCCCTGATCTTATAGCACCTTCTACGTACAATGCGGTTGCGGGTGGCTGGTGAGAAGAAGGTATTCTGGTCATTGATAAGAAAAAGTTCCTGCTTTTGTTTGCTGAAGGCAGCGGTGAAGTAATCTGGTTCGGGGTACATGACATGATTGGGAAGTTTAAAAGGCTTAAGTAAGCAGTCCAGAGGATTTTCTCTCGGCGGATCAATGTCGTTCTCCTTGATGGGAACTTTGATGCCAAGAACTTCAGCGTACGTGGACAAAACATCCCATGGAGCATGAATCTTAATAAAATAGATCTTCCCACTTTCAGATTCCTGAAAGACAACCCATATTCATTACAGGTCTGGCAATCACTGGTAGGTCAGAAGGAAATTGGACAATCTTATCTGGAAACAGGGGTTTCACATCACTTTTAGAAAAAGCATGGCATGTTAAATAAGCAGACTGATAATTGTGCTAAATTGGTTGATTTGACTAGAGTTACTCTGTAGAATATTCAATTCTTTGCTTTTAACTTCATGCACTTTCTATGACCCATGCAGCCACCAGAGAGCACTGTATGAGGAATCCTTGGCTCAATATAGCAAACTGAATGTTGTCAATTAACTAGCGGTAATAGACATTCAAGTATCATTGTCAAAACTTGATACTTCATGGAGGAGTTACAGCTGTAAACAAATTTGGAGAGGCCATAAAGGGACACTATAGTCACCAGAACAACTACAGCTTATTGCATTTGTTCTGGTGTGTAGAGTCATTCCCTTCAGACTTTTTGCTGTAAACACTGTATTTTCAGAGAAAATTCAGTGTTTAAATTAGAGCCTAGTGATAACTCCACTGGCCACTCCTAAGATGGTTACTAAAGGTGCTTCCTTGCACAGTGCTGCAGAGTAAGCAGCACTGCCATTCAGTGTCTCCACCCCCGCATGCAGACACTGAACTTTCCTCATAGAGATGCATTGATTCAATGAATCTCTATGAGGAGATGCTGATTGACCAGGGTTGTGTTTGGCTTGTGCCGGCTCTGCCCCTGATCTGCCTCCTTGACAGTCTCAGCCAATCCTATGGGGAAGCACTGTGATTGGCTCAGACCACCACTTCTGATGTCAGCAGACATGGGCAGTTCACAGGCAAACATGGGCAGAGCCAGGAGCTGCAGACTTGAATGCAAGTAAGATTTTACTATATTAAGGGAGGCAAGAGGGAGCCAGGGGAGATAGATGGTTGTTTTAACACTATAGGGTCAGGAATACATGTTTGTGTTCCTGACCCTATAGTGCGCCTTTAAAATAAATAAAAAATGTCCATATTCTTAACCTATTTACGGTCAGTCAGTAGTACCAAATGCTAAGACAAGAAATGACTGCTGTGGGACAAAGGACAGTGCAATCAGAGCCACAAAAGTGGGAGAGCTATATATAAGATTGGGAGGGTGATGGGGGGGGGACTTGGCACCCCTAAATATTTACATTTGCCGTGGAGAAAGTCAGCATTCCTTACTTTTTTGTCTTCAGTCTCTAATTCCAGTCCAGTTTTTATTAAATTCGACTCAAATTCTTTCCTTCTTTCCTGGGAGAAAAGAGAGAAGATTCAATTCACAGAAAGACATAGTGTGATGTAGAAGAACAGGCAATCCCCAGTGTATTTACTGAGAGCAGGTACTACGTATCCAGGCTACGACTCATATTGGATTTTCTGCCATTTTAAAAACCTGACCTTATAAAGAGTGAAATATGACCAATCCCTTTACACAGAGTCTCCATATAAAGATTAGGATTTACTTTTGGAAATTATTTCTTTTATTTTCTGAGTTGTCTACATAATCTTAGAACACTGAGACAGTTCACAGCCATGTTTAAGTAGCGGGCTGCCACACCGAGATAGTATGCACTCTCTCAGAGCGAAGGCACATCTTCAACACTGCAAATGGAGAAAGAGGGGCACTTTAATTTTAGGGGTGTGGCTGTTCTGAGAAATTATAAGTGATTTACTAATACTTTTTGCAACTAAAATGTAATTTACAACAAGAACATTACTGTGAGTATTATTTCTGCAGAGCTCGGCTATACACTCAGACACAACAATACAGAGCTTCTAGAAATGAAGGACATTAGGATAGACAAGATGAACAGAGGGATTTAGGCCCAAAATAGGGACGGTCCCTTCTAAGTAGGGACACTAGGGAGGTATGCTAGTAGCTGCCACTGTGGGACAGTCTGCGCTATAGGTGGTCACACTGGGACAGTCCACACGCACTCTCTGAGCTCCAGACAGTCACATTAAAACAGGAGGTCACACTGGGACAATCCACAATCAGGGGAATGCACAAATAAAAAAAAATAAAAAAAAAATATGGGTATCTTCTCCAATCCTTATAGTCCGGTAAACATCTCACTGTTTAAATTGATACACAAGTTTGTTAATATAAGTTTTCTTTAATATAAAACCCATTCGTTTCCAGAATTGTTGTTGTAAGAACACACAGGGTTATTCACTGAAATGAGAATTTTAAGTCAACTATGCTGCCAATTCAGTTACTTAGGCCTCGTTGAAATCACTTTGAATTCTCACTTTAGCGAATAACGGAGTTAATTATACATTTTTATCATCTAGCGTCTAACACCGGAAAGTGTATTATTCTTACAATCATTTATCAAACAGCTGCAGAAGCAAGGAAGGGGTCATCTTTTCCTGTAAATACACAAGCTGAAAATAGCCTGAATTCTGCACACTCATATACTACAGGTCCGCACAACAAAAGGAACACAATAACAACACAACCCTTACCACTTATTCAATAATCCATGAAAACTATGAGGTTTTAAAATTAGATCGTGGGGGGGGAGGGGGCAGGGGGATTGGAGAGCGAGAGGGTGTGTGTGTATATATGTGTGGGTGGTGGATGACAGAAAGAAAGACAGACAGACAGATTAAGTAAAAGATAACAGACGAATGACAGTGACAGTGAGAAAGAAAGACAGACAGAAAAAGAAAGTCAGGCAGAGAAAGCGTGACTGAAATAAACACAGACATATCTACATTAATCCCTAACTTTGCTACACACATGTTCTAAAGCTGAATGTATTTTCTGCTATCGGTGAATAGTCAGGTGGGCACGACTCCACGGAGCATTTGATCGAATACAGAACAGAGAGCTCTGCACAGTTACAGACTCTTTATTTGTGCACACATCGTCTGCTTCAGTCAGAAAAGCAAAACAAAGCCATTACCAGAATTGGCAAAATATTCTAGAAGGAAATCAAGCTTTAAGAAAAATGCAGGAATCCCATTATTTGTAGCATAACCATTTACCAATGAGTAGAATTGTGTGGCCGCATTGCCTGCTACTTTAAAGTCTATCCAGGGGATAACTCCAGGACAGACAGGAAGAAACCAAGAGCTATGGGTGGGATTATTTGAAGACCTCCAATAAAGTAATAATAATTACTAAATATAACAATAAGATGAACAGAGGCACATATTTATTAAGGTTTAACTTTATTAATTCTGGGGCAAATTGTAACAAACTGTAACATGTAGCAGGGCATTTTATTGGTTTAAATGGCAATTTGCATCTGATTAATAATTTTAGAATTGTGCCTGGTTTGCTAAATATAGATTAATGTCTATGATCTTACTAAAATTATTCTTCGATCTCTGCAATAAAAAGGAACTGAATGTGGTGTACAAGTTTGTACGTTAAAAAGAAAATGTTTCCTGCAGTTGTATATAAATGTTTAACGCCCTCGCTCCACTCAGGGGAAACGCCCTGCAATCCGTCCTGGCTGGAACCCAAAACACACGGTCAGGAAAATCTGCCTCCGTGCCAGCACAAGCCAGACACTAGTTAGCTGCAAATTATTCAGAAACTACTTTTCCTTTCATTTTAACAGTCATCTCCATTTATTTAAACCTTGTAAAATGTGGATCATTATCAAAAGTGATATTTTAATAAGGGTATTGCAATGTTGTAATGTCCATATCCCTTTAGTATAAAATGTATTGGGGATTTAGTTAATTGCCCCCTCCAAGGTGAGTTGATGTGTTCCCAGAGTATTCTACATAAAGCAGTTAAAGGGTTACTCAAACACATTATTGGAGTAACTGTATTTGTGCTTTATTTAGGTCCCTCCTTATCTTCCGGTAAAAAAAAAAAAAAAAAATGTATTAAACTAATTAAAAAACAAACAAACAAACAAACAAAAAAACTTTCATTAAATCCAGCGCCGGGCCGAGTTTTCCCGGTTCTCTTTCACACCTCTACTGACGTGGCGACACATCTTTTGCCCAATCAAATGCACCTCATAGAAAAGCATTCATTGGTCATGGGTGCATGCGCAGAGGGCAATTGCAATTGCATTCATTTCAGAGCTAAAGACAAGAGGGAGGTGAAGGAGGGGGCTAACACATAGGAGGATGTGAGGGGTGAGAATATCACAGAAAATGAAGGGAGAAAAAGTACAATGCAATGGATCTATTGGAAGGGAGGGAGGGATAAATATGGCAGAACACAAGGTCCATAAGCTTTGATTGCAGACACCCTCACGGCACTGCTTGCCAGTGAAGAATCATACTATGACTACGTCTGCTGCCAGCATGCAGTGCTCACAGACGACAAACATAAAATATACACAGAATTGACATTTGGCAGTTTGGAACTGGGTTATGGGCTGCTAAAGTCACGTGTGCCAGTGGTGTAACCAGCCCCTGGAACACAAGTGCAAATAAATCTGGATGTGTAGCATTTCCAAGCAGAAACACTGCACAGCGACAGATTCCTTCCTCCATGACCACGTCGAAAAGTAGAAGTGGTCATGGTGCTTGGAGTAACCATTTACGTTGTAATGCCCATATCCCTTTAGTATAAAAGATATTGTGGTTTTAGTTAAAGGACCACTATAGTGCCAGGAAAACATACTTGTTTTCCTGGCACTATAGTGCCTTGAGGGTGCCCCCACCCTCAGGGACCCCCTCCCGCCGGGCTGGATGGTGTAAATTGATTTAAAGTTGTACACACCACACACAACTGCTGCACTTTTTTCCTGAAATACTTGATTTTATTTTAGTTTATTTTTGGCATTATCATATTTAATTTTTACATAATTTGATTGGCGATATCACGCAACAGCCATTTTAGGTGGATTTACACCAACTTTAGGTTGCCATTTTCATTGTTGCACTCTCTCAGACAGGTCTTTGGTGAACTCCTGTCCTTATCCAGTTTTGAGCAATTCATCGAAAGTCAGACTCCCTCATCCCTGTGTGTTGCAATAGGCATTATACCAGACAAATATATTCTCACTATTCATTATTTGTTTAGGAAGAAAATAGCAAACAGCGCCTGGTGCACCAATCTCCAAACCTCCTCCTCCACACAGACAGATATTCATGTAATCGTATTCTGTGCCAGAGACAAACTATTGTATTTTTGTATGTTCTTTACAGAAGAGGTTAAATTGAACAGATTTCTGTGTAATGCATCTGATTCTGAACTGGCAGCCAGCCTGTCTGCCAAGAATCCCATCAAACAAGTATAATACCAGCTGCATTGAGAAGCATATCTCCTGTGATAAATCGTAAATCACATTTCACATCTTATCTGTGTTACTTATCTAGAACATTCCAGAATGTTCCACAATGTTTAACAGGAGGGAGAACAAAAACCACACCACACACCTGGATTGCACACGCACACACCCAAACATTGAAAGAGCAAAGAAAGGTCCTTCAAGGACTAGGTAGCCAGCCAGCCACCTGTTTCGCTCTAAGAGGTTTTATTGAGCTTTTGTTGCAGACTATGCAATGTGGCCTTGGGTCGGTTCTTTCTACAAATAAATAATTTAGCGAGACAAAAACCCTGAGGATGTGATAGAAGAATCACAATAACCAGAAGTGTATTACCAAAATTACCAAATGCAAAAACAGTATGGCAGGAAGATCTCAGTGTATGAAGAATACACCAGCAGCATCAAAATGTGCCCACACCAAGTTAGAGCCACTCGGAGACCAAGAGTGGAACAATGTCATCTAAGGTAAGTTTAAACAAACTCACTAGGAAACATTAAAGAATCAATATGCTTAACATAAGTAAGGATACAGGGAATTATCAAGGACTAGGTAGCCAGCCAGCCACCCGTTTCGCTCTAAGAGGTTTTATTGAGCTTTTGTTGCAGACTATGCAATGTGGCCTTGGGTCGGTTCTTTCTACAAATAAATAATTTAGCGAGACAAAAACCCTGAGGATGTGATAGAAGAATCACAATAACCAGAAGTGTATTACCAAAAGTACCAAATGCAAAAACAGTATGGCAGGAAGATCTCAGTGTATGAAGAATACACAGGCAGCATCAAAATGTGCCCACACCAAGTTAGAGCCACTTGGAGACCAAGAGTGGAACAATGTCATCTAAGGTAAGTTTAAACAAACTCACTAGGAAACATTAAAGAATCAATATGCTTAACATAAGTAAGGATACAGGGAATTATATCTGCAACAAAAAAAGGAGTCAGCTCTGAAAGAGTTATCTTAGCTGCAATGATGGAGCATACCATCTGTGAAAGGGTTACCTTATCTGCAATGATGGGGCGCATACCATCTGTGAAAGGGTTACCTTATCTGCAATGATGGGGCGCATACCATCTGTGAAAGGGTTACCTTGTCTGCAATGATGGGGCGCATACCATCTGTGAAAGGGTTACCTTATCTGCAATGATGGGGCGCATACCATCTGTGAAAGGGTTACCTTATCTGCAATGATGGGGCGCATACCATCTGTGAAAGGGTTACCTTATCTGCAATGATGGGGCGCATACCATCTGTGAAAGGGTTACCTTATCTGCAATGATGGGGCGCATACCATCTGTGAAAGGGTTACCTTATCTGCAATGATGGGGCGCATACCATCTGTGAAAGGGTTACCTTAGCTGCAATGATGGGGCGCATACCATCTGTGAAAGGGTTACCTTATCTGCAATGATGGAGCATACCATCTGTGAAGGGGTTACCTTATCTGAAATGATGGGGAGAATACCATCTGTGAAAGGGTTACCTTAGCTGCAATGATGGGGCGCATACCATCTGTGAAAGGGTTACCTTATCTGCAATGATGGGGAGCATACCATCTGTGAAAGGGTTACCTTAGCTGCAATGATGGGGCACATACCATCTGTGAAAGTGTTACCTTAGCTGCAATGATGGGACATACCATATTAAAGGATTACCTTAGCTGCAATGGGGCAACATTGCAGCACAGAACCTTTAAGAGCTGAAATCAAGAAACCTGGACGTGGACAGCAGAAAATATTTGTTTTGAGTAAATCACTGTGTCTGAAAATAAAAAATGTTGGGTGTGGCTGAATTTCATGGTAATCAAACAAATCAGACAAGCCAATATGGTGCGAAAATGGGGAAATAGCGTGTACAACAAAATAAATAAATGACCCGGTATGTATTTAAGTGAGAATTCAAAGAGAATTTCACATATCAGGCCAAAGTATCTGAATTGGAAGCATTGCTGACCTAGAGTTATTTTAGATTTAATTCAGCTATTTTGACCTTAAATTTTAAATTCACTTTGATTTCACACTTTAGTGAATTATCCTGATAATATAAATATTATGCATGTATTTTGCAGGACGCGGATAGGCACATCCTTGACAGAAACAAATTGCAAGACAAAGTATTCTCACCGCTTTCTTCTTATCTGTTTCTTTATTTGGGTCATCTGTGTAAGACAGGACAAAATCTATTCTCCGAAGGCCATCCCTGAAGAAGACGGAATCCTTGCTTTGGTGGTGTTTGTCTATCTGTGGAAATAAAATTTTAGGAGTAGTTTTCCCAAAGCTATTTTCACAGTTCAGGAGATCCTAAAGCAGATAATGTGGCACATTTAATGAACGGTGAAGGACTAGGTCACTACCTACTTTATTAATAAACTTTGGAAAAAAAACAAAACACAACCTATGAATCAAAGTAAACCCCTATTTACTCATGTCATATGTATTAACCATCCCTCTGTCCTTTACTTACTCCTCTGTTATCATAAGACCCTGCTAAATCCTTTCGCCCCCTAGAAGCTCCTCCAAAACCCAAATGTTCAAACAGGTTTCTCCAATCCTCCCTGCCCACCATAGATGTCTCCATCTTACGCGTTTCCAGAATGTACTACTCTCCCCAGACCTCTACAAATCCCCTTGTCTACCATAAGCATGTCCAGAACCACTTGTCTACCTCAGACCACTCCATGTCCTAAGCCACCCTACATATCTCCAGCTCCTGTTGACAAACTCAGATCTTTCCAAGACCATATCTCCCAACTGAGACTTCCATAGCTTTCCCTGCCCATATCAGACATTTCCGACATTCCCCTGCCTACCCTCATATCTCCTGATCCTGCTACAGTTTTCATTGTACAGATATATATTGTAATGTTATGTAGCTCGCCAGAAAATATTTTGGCCTAACACAAGTACAACACATATACGTACAAAAAGAAAAAGGTGGAATTGTATTTATCCACAATGGAGCACATAGCTTTACAAACAGGCACCTCTGTTACTTATTTGGCTGTTATGCAAACAGTGCCAGATACATAAAGGCGGAGGGAACAAAGTATCTGCTCATATTACATTCCACTTTGGCGCAGTTAACAGCAGTGAAAGCCCAACGAAGGGAAACACATGGCCTAGATGTCAGTGAAAGATTTGGAGAGAAGACATAGTTTTATACAATGTTAACAGGAAGGTGTAGATACACATGCCAATGTGTGACCATTTTAAAAACTGTCATTTCTAATATCCTACAGCCTCACAAAATGGAGTCCATCAAAAAAATGTAATCTCAGTATGTAAAATAAATTTTAAAAAAATATTACAAGAAAATAAACAAGACGAATAAGTTAAACTTGTACACACAGCAAATATTAAAATATAAAGATGTTAATTTTGTGTTAAATGGTTAAATCCACAAAAGTTTTAGATGTCGCCATTCCTTTGCTCAGATACTGACTGCTTTTCGTTTGTTATTATAGCTTACACATTTTTCACAGTTTAGTAGAGAAAGCCCAATTCATTAATTATTAAGAGTTATACAGGGTTTTATTGGCATGAATACATTTTTGGAATTACCCTTGCCTGCTAAATAAATACATGACCTGCCTTCTCTCTGCTAAAAATAAAAACTCCCATTTCTCGCCTACGTCTCCAATTATTCGACACCCTGTCTTCCACAACCTCTGTTTAAGTCCCTCATCCACCCACAGTGAGCAATTTAACCCTCTGCTGCCTGAAGGCTAACACAAGAGATCATGTTCCAATATAAAGATTTTGCAGTGACTGGACTGATTGAACATGTAAATGTTTGTGTTAAAGGGACACTATAGTCACCAAAGCAACTTTAGCTCAATGAAGTAGTTTGTGTGTATTGACCATGCTTCGGAAGTTTCACTGTTCAACTCTGCCATTTAAGATTAAATCACTTTTGTTTCTGTTTATGCAGCCCTAGTCATACCTCTTCTGGTTGTGACTGACACAGACTGCATGGAAACAGAATGGTTTCATTTTTAATCAAATGTATCTTACTTTGAAAGTTTGTATCTCCTGCTCGCTAAATTTACCTTTAATTACATACAGGAGGCTCCTGCAGGGTCTAGCAAGCTATTAACAGAGCAGGAGACAAGTCATTCTACATGAAACAGAATTTGCAATAAAGTGTAAACATTAGATGACTCTTTACAGGACGTTTTTAGGAAGTCTGTGCAAGTCACATGCAGGGAGGGACTGCTTCATTCAGCTAAAGTTGTGTTGGTGATTATAGTGTTCCTTTAAGCAAACTACTGAGTGTAGCTTTTTCCTTTCCTTCCGCCAACATCTCGTGTTTCAATTAATGGAGTAAAAATAAGGTTGTACATGAGGTCTTGACTCTTGTCCTCACTGCAGAAGATGAACAACCTGAGACTTTGCAGCAATTTCAGAAATGTAAAAATATATATATAAATATATATATATATATATATATATATTATAATTTTTTATTTTTTAATTGACTGTTTTTGGATATTTAGATTTGCATTACAACACAATGAGCATATCCCAGCCTAAAGTGCCTGTGTAAGAATGCACAATGTCCTTCAAAGCTCAGGGTTTGACAAATGCCTATGGGAGAGGTCATGTCTGGGGCCTATGGCAGCACCTTATCCTTAGTTGCTAATTTTAAACAACCAATCACATTGACTCGTCAGTGTGACAGACACCTGATTGCTATTAACTATAGGTTTGTCAGATCCACCATGCACTCCTGAATACGTCTCCTGATGATGGCCAGGGCCTTAAAAGTACTGCATTGTGTATAAAGCATTTGTATGCTGCAGGAGGGTAATCAGTTATTGCGGTACCAGAGTCCTTGTGTAATTGACTTAGACTGGAAGCATGCTGGTATAGCGGAAGACTTTTTGATACAAGCGGTGTTAAAATTGGCGCAAAGCAGTGGAGCACCACATTAAAATGCAGAAATGCCAATCCCTGGTTTACCATCAGCCGACGCTTCAGAAACAGGCGGTGTTTGTGCCATTTCCTTGTGACCTGCAATAGCTACAAAAATGCGCTCATGTCAGACTAAGGATAAACACACCACTTTCTACCAAGCGCAAGGAGACTATTGGAGGGTTTACAAACTCACTATAATGGAATTTACATTCCATTCTGAGATTCTGATAAAACGGAGAGCAGCGCAAGAACAGAGCGCACAAGATAAAGACAGAAACACGATATTTTATACTTCAATAACACATGGTTTGTTTAGTTACACCTGACTGGCTAGTGGGGCAAGCAGCAGCATGCAAACAAGATACATTATACATACGAGGAATGCACATGGTATCGGGAGTATGTGTCTAATAGTGAGGATCTAATATCCAACAGTCCATGCCAGCTATTCTGATACAGAGAAATGTGGTAATATCCAGGCCACACTGGATAATCTAATACAGAGAATGTGGTATTATACAGACCTACTCTCAATCGAATTCAGAGAATGTGGTATTATAGAGGCCATGCAGCTATTCTAATACAGAGGAATGTGGTAATATACAGGCCACACTAGATAACTAATACGGAGAATGTGGTGTTTTACAGATCATGTCAGCTATTCTACTACAGAGAATGTGGTATTATATAGGCCAAGCAGGATGTTCTAATATGGAGTACTGTATGTGTTATTACACAGGCCACATCAGATAAGCCAATACAGAGAATGTGGTATTATACAGGCCATGTCAGCTATTGTAATACAGAGAATGTGGTATTATACAGGCAATGTACTATTCTAGTACAGAGAAGGTGGCATTATACAGGCCATGTCAGCTATTCTAATACAGATAATGTGGTATTATATAGGGCTCAACGGATAATCTATTATAGAGAATGTGGTATTACACAAGCCAAGCAGGATGCTCTAATACAGAGAATGTGGTATTACACAGGCCACACCGGATAATCAAGTAACTCTGTATTAGATGTGGTATGATACAGGGCACGGCAGGTATTCTAATACAGAGGATGTGGTAGTCTAGAAGTGTGACAGGCTGGATGGGGCATCGACTATGAGGCTAGGAATCAAATGGTTGCCAATGACCAGAAATTGCACTAAATCCTGTCTGCTATAAATTGCAGATTTCCTGAAGCAATAGCAATAAAGAGGAGGTGAGATCGATAGGTTTAGGCTTTTCTAAATGTCATTTTTGTAAACAGAAACATTGCTTTTCGAAGTCACGTCTTTCAAAGAGTTAATGCTGACGGCAGACTCATACAATCCACTGGAGACAAATTAAATGCGTAACTAAATAAATAAAATAATGGTTCATGTTAATTACAATAGATTAAATTAATAAAGTGTTTTGGGACCATCAAAGCTCCCAGGACACTCAGCCACAGCTGTCAGCCTAACCATTCAGTATCACTTACATGGGATCAGATAGGACTTGTAGAATGACAGAGGGTTTAGATAACGGATTACAGACTGAGATAACAGGAATCATACAATAATCACTAGAATGCAATAATACCCCTATTCATCTGTCATCTGAGCCACTCCAGAGTGATCATTCATTATTCCTATAGATGGAGTTGTGTCCGTTAATGGTTAATGGATTTAACCTGTTTAATGAGTTTGTTTGTTTAGGCAGGATGTCAAAAAGGAAATCAAATTATAATGATACCATAACAGAAAACATTAAATGAACAAAAAACAAAACAACATTAGAAGAAAGCACAATGAAAAGATTAGTACATTAGTTTTAATGATGGTTAGTAGATACACCACACCAATCTAACCCCAACCAGCACATTCCAATGAAACCATGTATCCTGCAACAATGTATCTGATCCCTAGAAACTGAAAAAAAAATAACTATAAATGATGCTCAAAAGAGGTCCGTACACTGTCAACCCTTTCCTAACAAGAGAATAGTCAAAATCCTTAATATCATGACAGTCGTGGCACGTCATGAATGGGTGCTACTAGAACTGATAAAAGATAGTGAATAACTTTTATTAGAAATGAACCAGGATGGCCATCTCATGCACCATGTGGGATTGTAAAATGTCAAAATAAATAAAATAAAAAAATGATTGATCATTAAGTTAGGGGCATTGCCCAGCAGTTACATTCCTTTTGCTGTTCTTGATCCAAAAAGAGGTACAAGCCCCCCCAAAAACAAAACGGTTTTGTCACAAAAAGGCTCATCCCACTCCTAATCAAAGGTTTCTTTTCTTATTAATGTTTATATTTCTGTGCACTCTGTTAAGTAAAAAAAAAAATGTCTCTAGACTTGAGCTGCCAGACTCTCCATGTTTTGATGGACACTGTCAGTGATGAGAGCGGGGTCAAGCTTTGCGTGTACGGAGAGGTCATCCTGACCTAAGAGGGAGTCCCATCTTGCCATATTGCACAAGGCCTCACCCTCTCAGGGATGTCTAAATGGCTGCTCACTGCAGTCAGGGACAGGCCTAGTAACACTGGTGTGCTGCATGGATACATTAGTTTTATAAAGTAAATTGTTGTCGGCTTTTTGGAATGTGCTAGTTATAAGAGACACAAGGATGCTTGCCCATGTCACACACTTACCACAATAATGGTTGACGCTCTAACTACTCAAAGGTGACACACACCCACTAAAACCATCGAACACCATCTCCAGCTCCAAGCGACACCACCACACTACAAGCCCATGCATTTACCACTATAGCAGTGACACACCACACACCCATGCACCGGGTAGCATGGCCTTACCCTCTGATGGTTGTTGATGAGAAAAGTGCTTTCTGTGCTGCTTAAGCCCTGACAGAGGCATCATGGGAAAAATATAGAATGCAGTTAGTGGCAATGCAAAATATGTCCTTTGATGTTCCAAACATTAATTATGAGGTTAGTAAGTGGATGATGGGTGCCATAATGTTGGGAATACTTGGTGGGAGAGACAATGAATACCATGCATTTACAAAATTGGTCATAACAGTACGTTCTAGGGAAATTCTTTGGAGTAATCAGCTATATAGGAGAAGAGATAGGGAGCTCCAAGGTGAATACAAGGGATATACATCTCGGCTTGCAATGCCTTGTATAATACAAGTGCTTTGTGGAACTGTACATACTTTATGTTGGCACTATTCATCTATAAAGACATTTTTACATTGTGCTGGTATTTGTATAAAGTGGCATTCCCAGAAATACCAACAGATTATTTACAATTCCATTACAAAGGGCATTTGACCAGTTTTTATTTATCCTTCTTTTACAGGAAATCTGCAGGTCACAAGCCTTGTCTTAATGCTTCTATAACAATATTTTCCACCATGTCTGAACTATTACAATAAAAGGGATACTTGTATAATCTTTTCCCTGATGTGAGACGATAACCCTAAATCAGAAGCGTTATATAAGAAAAACAGAAATCTAGTTATTTACAGAAATAAAGTGTATTCTGTGTGAATGTCTAGTAATTCTGCTTCCTCTAAGTGAAGTATAATATAGATATTTACAGAAAAGAGTATTCTGCGTGACGGTCTAGTAAATTCCGCTTCCTTTAAACGAAGTTACGTTTTGGTTTTTTTTGTGCGTTTAGTTTTTTTCGTTTTGAGTGAACACAGTGTATGTGTAAATACACTCACCTCCGAGATTCCAGGGTTATCAGAGTCTATGTTTGAGTTAGTCTCAAAGAATGGCCCGTTTCCGTCCTCCCCTAGAAAGAAGAAAAGAAACACGTTCATTATTATTATGCATAAATTTCACCCCCTGGACGTGAAATCATTAAAAACGGAAAGTTTAAATCATGAAAATACCTTATGAATACATTTCCACAATTTGTGATTCACAAACAAGTAATGACTCATGAAAAGACAAACATTGAAATCTCCCAGACTCCGTCATTCCCCAAAGCAGGGGTGAGAGTCACATGGAGAAGAACATTTTCAGAAACAATATTACAAAGCAGCAGCTTCTCGGATTCTCTAAAATCTGCTACAGAACTGACGACTGACACATACTGATGAATGAACACTAAAAACAAATGAACTGTTTCAGCTGAGTGTTTCTCATTTACTCTGTGTCTCTGACAGACAACGACAGACAGTTTTGTAGAATGGGCAATTATGTTGTGCTAGAGCTTGACCAATCACCAGGAATATTTTCTTTGGTTTCCACTTTTAGATTTTTGCCTGATAGGTTTTATTTAAATAAGCCCCCCCCCCTCCCCCTCCCCACAACCAAGCAAAAAACAATTCAACGGCAATGCAAAAGACACATGGAAGAAATGTAGTATTGGAGATGATAACAAAGAATTTAGAAGAAGAGGTTGATCTGGTTTTCAAATATGTAGACATATTGTCTAGAACTATAGACACTAACTAATCACTCTAAGCATCATATCTACCCATGGGGATCACACAGGTGATGGTACAAGGAGGTCTCTTGTCTTGCAAACAGAGCTGCATTCCTTCAATCATCTATGTTACAGGAATGTATTCGATACCAAGCCCCTTGACCAGAATGAGGGGCTTCTGATTTTTGAAGCATCTTCCAAAATGGGTGAGGGCTGTTTGCCGCAACATTCCCATTTAATTTATTTATTTTTTTAATTTTTCTTTGTAAAATTAATATTTGTGCTTGTGCATTATCTATATCAGTAATATTAATCTGCCACAATTTGCACACATTACTCACTCTAATGGGTCTATAGACTAATGGGGAGTTTATTCATACACCCATTAGAAGCATAAAGCACAGTTTCTGTGGGGTAATTCATTTCAGAGGCAATTGTAACTGATAATATAGGATAAAACTAAGGACACTTAAGAAACCAGCAGATCATGATACGCACAAAACAAGATTGTGCTAAAATAATATCTATTTTGTGATTAAACTTGAGTAATCAAAAATTGCTCATTAACAATCTGTTAATACACAGTATATTTCTTTGTGTTTTTTTATTAGTACATGGCAGAGTCTATTGCAGAAATTAGAGAGATCCTGCACAGTTTCCTAGCAACACGAACCTCTCTCTAAATACAAAATATAATGCTCAGATTAGTCATGTGACTGAGCCATGATAGTCACATGACTGAGGGAATGTATGAGCTTGTTCTAAGGCTTAAAAAAATAAATAAAATAACAGCAGCATGGCCAATGGACCAGGAAACGTAATCAAAGTGTCCCGATTAGGATGACATACTGTGTTCAAGCAGATTATTATATTCCTTTATATTTTTGGCTTTCAGTAGTCTGGGAGGACACACTTACAAAGTATAAGTTTCAATCTAGAATCAGTTCTGAAAATGAAGCCCTGTTAATCTATAAAGATTTCTATTGCTATTACCACGATTATTGAGAAATAAAACATTTGAAGGATTTGAGATTATAGTCAGATCGGTTGGCCAATACCAGGACAGGACACACGAACAACACACAGACTTTACAATATAGTTAGTACAATACCTGCTGAATCGGGGCTCCTGATGTCGGTTAGTACAGAAATATCATCTTTAAATAAATAAAAATAGGTTAAAGGATGAGTATATCGAGTTAATGAGGTTTACTTTACAACCCATGTACAGCAAACTATCAATTCTGATGAAAACTGCATTTTTATTTTTTTAAACCCGAGGTAATAAGATGTAGCAAGATTACATGAAACACACGTATACAGTATATTTTATGATATAAGACTAAATCATTCACATCCAACCAGCAACCAATAGTTATTCACTACTATTCATACAATTTGGGGTGTGTTCCAGTGCCCACGGTAGTCTGACAATTAATGTCAAACAGCATGTACTGCAGTGGTATGGTTCAAGAGCTAAACAGGAACCAGTGACCTCTCACTGCATGGGTACTGATACCAAGAGCTAAACAGGACCCAGTAACCTCTCACTGCACATGTACAGATACCAAGAGCTAAACAGGACCCAGTAACCTCTCACTGCACGGGTACTGATACCAAGAGCTAAACAGGCCCCAGTGACCTCTCACTGCATGAGTACAGATACCAAGAGCTAAACAGGACCCAGTGACTTCTCACTACACAAATACAGATACCAAGAGCTAAACAGGACCCAGTGACCTCTCACTGCACGAGTACAGATACCAAGAGCTAAACAGGACCCAGTGACCTCTCACTGCACGGGTACTGATACCAAGAGCTAAACAGGACCCAGTGACCTCTCACTGCATGGGTACAGATACCAAGAGCTAAACAGGACCCAGTGACCTCTCACTGCATGGGTACTGATACCAAGAGATAAACAGGATCCAGTGACCTCTCACTGCACAAATTCAGATACCAAGAGCTAAACAGGACCCAGTGACCTCTCACTGCACATGTACAGATACCAAGAGCTAAAAAGGACCCAATGACCTCTCACTGCACGGGTGCTGATACCAAGAGCTAAACAGGACCCAGTGATCACTACGAAATACGATACCAAGAGCTAAACAGGACCATTGACCTCACGCACAAATACAGATGCCATCAGGCTAAACAGGACCAGTGACCTCTCACTGCACAAGTACAGATACCAAGGCTAAACGGGACCCAGTGACCTCTCACTGCACGGGTACTGATACCAAGAGCTAAACAGGCCCCAGTGACCTCTCACTGCATGAGTACAGATACCAAGAGCTAAACAGGACCCAGTGACTTCTCACTACACAAATACAGATACCAAGAGCTAAACAGGACCCAGTGACCTCTCACTGCACAAGTACAGATACCAAGAGCTAAACAGGACCCAGTGACCTCTCACTGCACGAGTACAGATACCAAGAGCTAAACAGGACCCAGTGACCTCTCACTGCATGAGTACAGATACCAAGAGCTAAACAGGAACCAGTGACCTCTCACTGCACGGGTACTGATACCAAGAGATAAACAGGATCTAGTGACCTCTCACTGCACAAATTCAGATACCAAGAGCTAAACAGGACCCAGTGACCTCTCACTTCACATGTACAGATACCAAGAGCTAAAAAGGACCCAGTGACCTCTCACTGCACGGGTACTGATACCAAGAGCTAAACAGGAACCAGTGACCTCTCACTGCACGGGTACTGATACCAAGAGCTAAACAGGACCCAGTGACCTCTCACTGCACGGGTACTGATACCAAGAGCTAAACAGGACCCAGTGACCTCTCACTGCACAAGTACAGATACCAAGAGATAAACAGGACACAGTGACCTCTCATTGCGCGAATACAGATACCAAGAGGTAAAGAGGACCCAGTGACCTCTCACTGCACGAATACAGATACCAAGAGCGAAACAGGACCCAGTGACATCTCACTGCACCACGAAGAATGCAAAATAAGAGACAAATATTTGCAAAGAACAACAGTTACACAACTGAATTTTATAAATAACTGTATTTGAAATGGAATACAAGCACAATTACTTATTCTGTGTCCCGAGCATGAGCTTTATATTGAAGTGAGGACGATAAATAATTCAGTATGTGATCTATTTGGATTTTGCCAAGGCATTTGATACAGTTCCACACAATAGATTAGTGTTTAAACTCAAGGAAATCTGTCTAGATGAAAATGCTTGTTCTTGGGTAGAACATTGGCTTAAAGGACCACTATAGTGCCAGGAAAACATACCGGGCTCTAGGTTGAGGAAGGGGTTAAACTTACCTCTTTGTCCAGCGCTGGGCGGGGACTTCTCCTCCTCCTCTCCGCCTCATCTTCGGCTGAATGCACATGCGCAGCAGAATCCACGCGCGCATTCAGCCAGTCCATAGGAAAGCATTCTCAATGCTTTCATATGGACGCAAGCGTCTTCTCACTGTGAAAATCACAGTGAGAAGCGCGGAAGCCCTCTAGCGGCTGTCACTGAGACAGTCACTAGAGGCTGGATTAACCCATAGGTAAACCTAGCAGTTTCTCTGAAACTGCTATGTTTACAGAAAAAAGGGTTAATCCTATCTGGACCTGGCACCCAGACCACTTCATTAAGCTGAAGTGGTCTTCGTGCCTATAGTGGTCCTTTAAAAACAGAGTACAAAGAGTTGTCATTAATGGTAAATTTTCAAGCTGGACAGAGGTGGCAAGTGGTGTCCCTCAGGGGTCTGTTCTGGGACCCCTTCTATTTAACATGTTTATAAATGATCTTGAAGACAGCATTGAAAGTCATGTTTCAGTGTTTGCAGATGACACAAAACTTTGTAAAATAATACAATGTGAGCAAGATATTACTTTGCTGCAGAGGGATTTAGATAGACTGGGGGACTGGGCACTCAAATGGCAGATGACATTTAATGTTGAAAAATGCAAAGTTATGCACTTCGGCATAAAGAATACACAAGCAACGTATACTCTTAATGGAAGCGAATTAGGGATAATAACACACAAAAAGGACTTGGGAATTGTTATAGACAACAAACTATGCAACAATGTGCAATGTCAATCAGCAGTGGCCAAGGCCAGTAAGGTATTGTCATGCATGAAAAAGGGCATTCATTCTCAGGACGAGAATATCATTTTGCCTCTTTATAAATCACTGGTAAGACCACATATTGAATATGCTATGCAATTTTGGGCACCTGTTCTAAAGAAGGATATTATGGCACGAGAAAAAGTGCAGAGGCAGGCTACAAAATTAATAAAAGGAATGGAACGTATCAGCTATGAAGAAAGGTTAACAAATTAAAACCTATTTAGTTTAGAAAAACGTTGCCTGAGAGGGGATATGATAACATTATACAAATATATTCGGGGCCAATACAAACCATTGTGTGGAAATCTATTCACAATCCGGACTTTACATAGGACACGAGGCCATGCGTTTAGACTGGAAGAAAGAAGATTTCGTCTAAGGCAAAGGAAAGGTTTTTTTACTGTAGGAACAATAAGGATGTGGAATTCTCTGCCTGAAGAAGTGGTTTTATCAGAGTCCATACAGATGTTCAAACAGCTACTAGATGCATACTTGCAAAAACAGAATATTCAAGGATATAATCTTTCAATGTAGGTTAATAACTGCTTGATCCAAGGATAAATCTGACTGCCATTCTGGGGTCAAGAAGGAATTTTTTTCCTAGCTTGTTGCAAAATTGTGCTTCAAATTGGTTTTTTTTGCCTTCTTTTGATTAACAGCAAAAAACAAATGTGAGGAAGGCTGAACTTGATGGACGCAAGTCTCTTTTCAGCTATGTAACTATGTAAGAATTACTAAGTAAGTATAATAACCCATAATAGAATTCAAGCAAATCTCTTTATATGAAGACATGCCTGGCATTTTATGGCTTTATTATAACTTTTAAAACTATGTGGGAATACCTTTTAGTAAATACGAAAGATTTACTAAATTCGCTGCTTTTGTTTGATTATTTAATTAGCCATAAATTGTGACCGTGTCTTTTCTGGAAGCCCAGTATAATGTTCTGTGAAAGAATAGACAGAAATTGGACTGAAGTGCTTTAGAAAAATTCAAACATAGGATAGGATAACAGTTCATTACCCAATAATAAGAAGATAAAGAGCTTTCTGACCTCAACATAACGTACAATGTTATCTAATGGAAGCACTTGGTTCCATGCCTTTGAAAGAACTCTCGTAAATAATCTATCACTAGCCTGGAGTCCATAAAGCACAGTCCAGTCAAAACCCTTCAATGAATTTACTCAAAATCATTCACATTCACTGTTCCCCGGTAAACAAACTGGACGTAAAATCAGGAATTAACCACAAACTAGGCGACTGTCACTTTGCAGATAAAAATAGGTTTGAATAAAGGTTGTAAACGAACCACTAAAAATGCAACGCAAGCGCATGCTTTCTGACATCAGCTATGATATATATATCCACAGGTTTATTTACAAGAGTGAGAATTGTCAAATTTCATTTTTTAGCCACAATATTCAATTTAGAAAAATTCTCCAGTTCAGACATTTGGACTAAAATTCACGTTGAATTCCTGATATTCACCACTTTGGTGAAATACTTTGTAGTAGTTCTAGTTTTGCCATTTTAAAAACATTTTTATATGTTTTTATTGTTGAAGAATTCTCACACATCAATCATGCTCCGGAACTGTTCAGTTACCACACTCTACGTCAAACAAGAAAACACTATATTAATATTTAACATAACTATATACTGCTGACTGCGTTATATAAACATAGTAAAAGTCCTTGTGATATCACAGGTTATCTCTACTGCTATAAACGTTAACAGCTTTATAGTGTTTATCAGCGTGCAATCATTTGCTTAAACTGTTTGACTTATTGAATATAAGTGTTGTTAGTGACCAATCAGCTGGAGGCAAGTCTGCATTATAAATATTAACATTATAAATGGGGTACCCATGCAAAATAGTAACTTGCACATTTTAAAGTTTAGCTATTATGAAATACAATACATTGTGTTTTATGGAGTTTCTCCTACATCTCCCAATGCTCAGTAGTTCTTTCTCTGGCTCTGCCTCTTCTCTCCAACCCATCTCTGTTGGCGTCCCCCTAGGTTCTGTGTCCTTGTATCCCTAATGTTCTCGATCTATGCTGCCTCCCTAGGTAAACTCACCAGCTCTTTTGGCTTCCAATATCACTTCTATGTGGATCACATGCAAATCTATCTGTCTTCTCCTGATCTCTCGCTGCCCCACTTGACTCATGTCTCTGACTGCCTCTCTGCTATCTCCATCTAATTGGCTACTCACTTCCTTAAAATGTAACAGGTCCAATACAAAACTTATGGTCTTTCCTCCCTCAAGTGTTGCTATTCCCGTGACTATCTCCCTGCAAGGTAACAGCATTACCATCAGCTATACCTCCCAAGTTGGCTGCTTAGGTATTATCTTCAACTCCGACTTCTACCCTCATGTCCAGTCGATCGCCAAATCCTGTTGCTTCCATCTCAAAAGCACTGTGCGCATCCGCCATTATTTAACGCCAGACGCAGTTACGGTGCTGGTCCATGCCGCTATCCTCTCTTTGACTATTGCAATCCACTTCTCAGTGGTCTTAAGTGCTCTAAAATTGCCCTGTTATAGTCTATAATGAATGCGGTGGCGAGGCTCATCTTCTTGTCCACCTCCACGCCAACATCCTCTGTCAGTTCCTATATTGGCTTCCCGTAGGATATAGGGCTCAATTTACAATTCTGTTTTTTGCTTTCAAATCTCTACATAATGCTACTTCCACTTATCTATCCTCCCTAATACACAAGTATAGTCTAAGCTGTTAAGCTCTGCTGAAAACCTTTGTCTATCCTCTGTTCGTATTTCCACTTTGCCTTCAAGAATTCTCCAGGGCTGCACCGTTCATGTGGAACCCAGTCTCCATGCATTCATAAAAAATAAAAAATAAATTATTGAAAACTCACTCCTTCATGAAATCATATCAATTAAACTGTTATTAGCTTAGCCCCTGCACCCTGATTCCTCTCCTGCAACTGTCATATAGTGAATACTATTATAGCAACCTAGTTTGCTACTTACCCTTACCTGTTGTGTCACTATACCCCACTCCCTCTACCATGTAAGCTCAGTGCCCTCCACCCCTCTGTTCCTTTGCGTCCAACTCTTCTGGTTACAATTACGTGTTTGTTCGTCCACCCATTGTACAGTGCTACGGAATGAGGATCCTTGGCAGCCTACAGCCCCGCCTCTACTGAAGGTGTGGCTAAGACAGAGATTATACACTTCCTTAGTCAAATTCATACCCTTATTGTGTGCTGTGATAGGCTGAAAGCAGCTAGCACTCTGAGCCAATCACCGCTGCCCACTACTGTGCAGGCTAATGCATTCTTGCACACAGTGGATGGGCTGCTGGGGACTCTGGATTAGCATTAAACCATTTAAAACAGTTTAACACTGACTGGAGGACAGCACCAGGGAACTTCAGACACTGTAACCACTTCAAGCAAATAAAGCAGTTATAGAGCCTGCAGTGGCCTTACAAATCACTTTGAAATATTAAAGCATTGTTTAATAGAAAATCACTGATAATTCAGGTCTTTTTTTACTAAACTGTGTTTTGTGATAAGGGAAGTAACAATTTTTGGCCAATATAACTGAGTAAAAAAAAAAAAAAAGAGAAAATATTGAAATTCTCAATTCCAGGTTTTGTGAATTACCCTATTTTTTAACTACAAAATAGGCTTGAGAAATCTGATAAGGTTGGATAAAATAAGTAAAAAATAAAACCCACATGTCTAGGATGAAAAACAAAACAAATATGGGGAAAAAAAACTAAACAAAAATCACTCCCATAAAAATATATTTTTATTCTCGAAAGCTTACAATCTAACGCAATAGCTCCAAAGTCAGAGGCAAAGCAAGTAGAATTTATATATACCTAATCAGGAAAATTCAGATCTCTGATTTTATTAGCACACAGGAAGAATCAGGCAGCCTTCATAATGTCACCTGGACTACCCAACCCACTGAATAACGTAATAAAAAGGATTCCTGGGTAGTCTTCGGTGTAAATTAGCCTGCTCTATCACAAAACTCCAATAAAATTGCAGATTACAGCCTAAAACTGCCACAATTTGTATGTCACGCGATTGATCGATTTTCTGATATATTTAGACAGAGTTCATGGTACAAACAGATTCACTATCACTACTGTCCTCTGTACTTTATACACCAAGATAAAAAAGTAGGGCCATAAATGCAGAAAACAAAAAATTGGAATAAAATAAATTGAAAGAGAATAAAAAATACCTTAATCAGCAGTACCCAGCCACCAGGGAGCAATTATACCAATTTTGTGCTTCCAAAATGCATTATCATACTCCCCCCTCCCAAATGACATGAGAGCCAGCAGCTCTCCTTAGGGACTGCTATTATACACTCTGTGCACCATAACAACTTTATTAGAATGAAGTTGTAATAGTGCCAGCAGGTCCCTGGTACCGGCTTACCTTTAGGGGTTACACCATTAAGGAACTTATTGGCTGATACTCTCAGTCAATCTGCAATCCCCCTGCCTGAGGCTTCCTCATTCAATGTAATAGAGCAGCAGGAAATGCTAGCAGAATGCTTGGTTGTATAGGGAGAGGTATTAGCAGTAGAAAGAGGGAAGTGCTCATGCTATTGTACAGAACACTGGTGAGACCTCACTTGGAGTATTGTACACAGTATTGAGACCGTATCTTCAGAAGGATATTGATACCTTAGAGAGGGTTCAGAGAAGGACTACTAAACTGGTTCATGGATTGCGGGATAAAACTTACCAGGAAAGGTTAAAGGATCTTAACATGTATAGCTTGGAGGAAAGACGAGACAGGGGGGATATGATAGGAACATTTAAATATATAAAGGGAATCAACACAGTAAAGGAGGAGACTATATTTAAAAGAAGAAAAACTACCACAACAAGAGGACATAGTCTTAAATTAGAGGGACAAAGGTTTAAAAATAATATCAGGAAGTATTACTTTACTGAGAGGGTAGTGGATGCATGGAATAGCCTTCCAGCTGAAGTGGTAGAGGTTAACACAGTAAAGGAGTTTAAGCATGCGTGGGATAGGCATAAGGCTATCCTAACTATAAGATAAGACTAGGGACTAATGAAAGTATTTAGAAAATTGGGCAGACTAGATGGGCCGAATGGTTCTTATCTGCCGTCACATTCTATGTTTCTAAGCCAATGACAAAACCAGAACAACAGGGACAGAGATAGCTGGAGCGCGATTCAACACTTTAATTTCAACAGTAGATTCAAAGTTCATTAACGGGTTGACCGCTAAATTTAAGCTAGCGCAATAACAGCTTTATTTTAATTAAGTTGTTATGGTGCATGCAGGGTCTCTTTAGCGTTGTGCCTCAAAAAATCTAGACCGGCTTTCTACAATAAGCCAATTTGTTTTCAGAGAAACCAAATAAGGAGCTGAAGTGCAATAATTTAATGCAGCAAGGGAAGAGGGCTGTCTTTCAGTCCACGGTAAAAGGAAATAGGTTAAAAAAATTTTTTTTTAAAAATGGAAACATAAAAAAAAGAAAAATTCTTAACTTTTTGTTTTGCTGTGCAGTGTTACACTTTATCCAACGCCAGATCTTCAAAGTTCACAGTTGAGTGATATTAAACCAGCGGAATGGAGGAAAAAAAACAATAACAAACTAACCTTCCAGAGGAAGCGACAATGTTTTAGAAAGGGTAGTAGATACCTGGAATAGCATTCCAGTTGAAGCAGTAAAGGCTAATAGTGATATAGAAATGGTAGTACAGGGGTTCCAAGAACATAGATCCCTAGATCTTAAAAAAACTACAGTTCCATGATGCTTTGCTATTCTAAAGGTATCCCGAAGGCATGCAAAGCATCATGGGATATCTACCTGGGGATCTACCTTTTGGGCACCCATGGGGTAGTAGATCTGAGCTGTACATAAAACTATACTGAACAAGTAAACATGAGTCAAATTTCACAATGGGCAGATGAGACATACCAGTAGGCTCCCACTACTGTCACCCAGCACATTACAGTTTGTTTCTACGGGTCTATATATTTTATCTGTGGTTTCTAAAATGGAGGGTAGAATTTCCACAGGCTTGGAAGGATTCCATGAAATTAAAGAGTTAAAAGAAGAGGTGTATAATTATTCTAGTTTTCCCCAGACGTACATACATATAACAAGCTGAAGACAGACTGCTGTAAAACCAAATTACAGACTCCTACATTATATTTGGAGATTCACCCCATGCTGGCCATGCCAGTGTGACCACACATCTATTTCTGTCATATTACACAGCTTCATAATATGGAGGTTTTAATGTCTGCTTTGAAGTTGGCTACTTACACTTAAATTACAAGTGTTGCCACATCAGGTGATAAGGGATACCCTGCCTGCACTTACAGGACAAATAGCAAGAAAGGACTCCACAAAAAACATCCCAGCACTAAAGTCTGTGTGGGTCACTAACCACCTCCCAACAGGAGTGTCCACCATTAAACATCGCTGCCAGACGCAGGCCATTACCATCACAAGGCAGAGGTATCAGCAGTTAATGACAACTTGTGTTTGCAGGACAGAGGGATTGGAGTCTTTCACTAAGGGCCACTCTCTGTGGTCAGTCATTTGCTATCAGGGCCTAATATTAACTGCCATTAGCGGAGATGCAGCCCTCAATATCTGGGAGTGCCAAAGGTTGCCTACCTCAAGAGTAACATTTCTTCATACCGAGTCTCACTACATTCCTTTGCCCAACTTGTAAAAAATGACAAATATTGGAACACCCTTTTTCCAATATGGAACACAAAATCTCAGTTCCTTGAACTACAGTGGATCCCAAAGACCATCAGTTAAGTCCTATGAATATGTAGAGATCTGCTGTTGCAGCTCCTGTCCTTAAACTGTACCTGGTCAGCCTGGTCCCCACTGGAACCCAGGGGAAGCCATCCACACTACTAGATACACACAGAGCTGCAGAATAACTCTCCCCTAATACAAATAATACGAACAGCCCACCCACAATCCACACAAACTCAACACCACTAACAATACACACACATGCACACAACCCCACATGCAATACCCCAAACAGCCCCACACATACACACAAACACAATTCCACAAGCAGTCCCCATACATAGGTATCGTACACGATACCATAAACTACTCATGAACATATAAAATATAATAGCTCATATACGCACATATACAACGATACAAAGCAACTGCAGTAGAAATAACACAAGAAGAATACACACCTCAATTTAAAATAATAGGACCGGCACATGACAATCTTATTTTGGCACACTGCTGCTAAAAGGTTGCCTACCCCTGCTCCATACATTTGTAAGCCACATGGAAGCACAATATACATGAAATATCATAACGACACGGTGGCTGCAGTTTACTGCATTGATTATGACAGAATCCTTTGATAGTGGTTGTGGTTATAGATTTATTTTTTTGTTTTCAAATTACTTCGTGGAAAGGCTCATAGAGGCAGATTTCCCAGACTCAGGGTAGGTAAGCATCAAAGGATATAAAAAAACAACATATAAAAATAGAAATGGAGAGATCAGTTCACAAGCAAGAATTAGTCCAACGCAGACGTACAAGGAGTTTGATTAAGTCTTAAAAGGTCTTTGTGGAAGGACAGGCGTCATGCGTTAAAAAAAAACAAAACAAAAAAAGCAACAGAGCGAAGAACAATGGCTACAGATGTCAGCAACCTGGAGGCGCGGTTGCCCAGGTGAAATAAATTTGTGTACAGATCACATTTGTAATTCAGCTTAAATGTTGAAATGCAAGTCAGACCAGATGTCTAACATCTAATATTCCATTTAAATCACTAGATTTTAGATCAAAATGATTTTAATATTCTTCATATATACTGCCCCAAAGCCACAGCCCAGGTAAGTACTCATTTATTAAAACAAATTTAAAAATTTTTTTTTTTTTTTTTTTTTTATATTACAGTCAGAACAAACAAGATAAAAAAGTTATTCACAAAGTGTAAATTGTTGGAAAACTAAAGTTAATTGAAAAGGATTTTCAAATTTTAGCCTAATAGCTTAACTGTAAACATAGCAGACTTTCCCTTCCCCCCTCCGCCTCCCCCCAAAAAAAAATTGCCAATTTTTTTTTGCCTATAATTTAAAATTAACTTTGAATTTTCTTTCAATTCCCAATAATTCAAAGTTTAAGGTATAACTCTATAATTCCCAATTTGCTTTCCCTTTGGGTAATGGCATTCAACTATCGAGTCATCCAAGCATGACAGGGCTGAATTCAAAGTACATTCGAAACGTTCGCCCATGATAGCCAAACTCAAATTTCTAAAGAGGCACTTTTTCACATTTCACACTTTTGTGAATAATCCTTTTTATTCATTATTTAACAGTTTATATAACACCTTTAACCATGGCATTTTACAGAGATTAGCAATAAGGGAGAAATAATACAGAATACTTAGAAATTATCAAATCTCACAAACCCTTGGATTCAGGTAGAGCCTGGCTGTATTTATTAGTCGCTCCCTGTTTTCACTTATTTACATTTGCTATCAAAGGCAAATATTTATATGGTTATTATGAAACCAGCAATTGTGAAGAATTGACAATAGTTCTGTGAATTTCAGGCTGAAATAATCAAACCTCCTGTTTGTCACTGTACAACAGAATACTTATCCTCGTCAGTGATTTGCAATTTGTGCCTTAGCGAGTTCCTGCATAGGGACAGGTTTTAACAATTTCAGTGCTACAGTACTACTCAGTTCGAAGGCCAAATGTGTCAAATGGATTTATTAACTAAAAATTGCACTGCGGTATATAAGAAACATAAAAAAAACAAACAAACAAAAAAAAAAACACAAACAAACACAAGATTACCACCTCAATGAACTTTTTAATAAATAAACCTCGGAGTTCTGCAATCATGAGGCTGCCCACACTGTCATATTACATGGGTATTAAGTTACATCGAGGTCAATTTAAACCCAAATCAAATGCCTTTTAATCTACATCCAGGCAAATCAATCATCCAGAATTTACATGTGGAGTCTGATTCATTGAATGATTATTTACTAAATGAATTACGATTAATTTATTAATTCTTAGCAATTCACACATTAGTGAATAACCAAGAAAGTGCTTTTCAAATTTAATGCCAAAATAGGTCAGCAGGAAAAAAAACTGACTTTTAGAGAGAATTTGAAATTCACTTTTGCAGTTCAGTTTAAATGACTAGCCCAGTGAATGTAGTAAGGAGTACTATCTCCCAAACAAGGAATGTTTAGATCTCTCGTTCCTAAGACTAATTTTATCCTCCTGGACAAACAGCAGGATAAGGCTGCTGATATACTCAGATTATTTCACTGCGCTACTGAATATGTTGGAGTCTTACTAAATTGCCACTATCCATAGCAGGAGGAATATATGGAATTTCAAGAAACGAACAGCCCAAAATATTTACACCTGCCACCACTAAATCAATACAACTGTAAAAAACGTGTTTAAGTAATGGTGCCGTGTCACCAGTATGTTAGCCAGTGACACACGGGAATTCTCTGCATTTACCCCGAGGCCTTAAATACCTACAATTACAGAATTTCCAGAGAGAGAGACTTGTATGTTGGGTGTGGAATCCTTATCCGGCCCTGCTACCCAGAGGACACAAACACAAGTGACAGAAGAGACCTGCAGCTCTGGGTGACATACACAGTATGCTTTTTCTAATATTTATAAGATTATTATCACCAATACACACCTCTCAACATTTCATACAGACAAAGAAGGACACTTCGATTTTAGGGGTGTGAGGACAGGGACAGGGCTGTTCTGCTAAATGTGACTTACTAAGTTATAGAGCTAAAATTAAACTTAAAAACAAGAACAATGTATCTTATTTACACAGACTGATTTCTAAAACTTGCAAAAAAACTATATTCAAGGATATCATTTTAAATATCTGGGGTAATAGTTTCTTGATCCTATGGTGAGATGTGACTGCCATACCAGAGTAAAGAAGGATTTATTTCCGAGTTTGTTGCAAAATTGGAAGCTTCTAACTGTTTTTTTTTGGGAGGGGGGCTTCTTTTGGATCAACAGCAAAAACAGAATTTGATGGACACATGTCTCTTTTTAGCTATGTAACTATGTAAAACACATTTACTGTAGTTTAAAGACATATTACTGGGAGTATTATTGCTGTGGAGCTCTGTTATAAACTCAGACACACCAACAATATGGAACTCCTAGAAAATAGGGACAGAGGGATTTGGGCCTAAAATAGGGACTGTCCTTCCGAAATAGGGACACTTGGGAGGTATGCCAGCAGTATTAAGTAAACAAAATCACCATATTCCACAGCACGTTGTGATTTTTTCCAATCAGGAAGTTAAACAGCAAGTAATTAAACAAAATAACATCCACATAAAGAAGAGGGCCCTGCTCAGACAACTTTTTCAGCAAAGCTTAAAAAACAAAAACAAAAATTAAACAAAAGCTTCAGTTCCTGAAATCTATCACTATCCAAAAAAAATAAAAATCAGATAATTCTGTTTCTTTAAAACACATACATTAGCTTGACCTTGATTTTGCAATTCAACACAATTCCCTGTTTGGTTAAAAAAAAAAAAAAATCTTAAGATTTCGGAATAGCAGAGTTTGGGAACGTAGTGCGTTGCAGATTGGTATTTGCTCCCTAACACAGATATTTTTAAACTATATTTGGAAATTCACTTAGCAATATTCCACAACACACTAGTTTATAATCCTCAACTTTTCTGACCCTTAGTCACATCCTTTTCTGCCTAGCCAAAATCTTTCTGACCATGTGGACTTGCAGAGCTCAGATCATCCGTAGTGATACCAGAACAGGGAAGTGACACAGTGTTATTTTTAAGTTGCCCAGGGAACCGCTAACCACATGTTCTCTGTACAGTGTTTCTCAGGTTTAACATATGATTCAGTAAACTGCGACCTGACAACTGAATTGCCATATTTAAGCAGACGTAGCAGAGCTGAGCCACAACTAATTTCAATTACCAGTTCAGCACAACCACACTGTTTAGTAAATAAGGCCTATGGTGTAGCAGAGTGTTTTATTTGCATCGCTAAAGGGTAAAAGGCAATTTGGGTTTTACAAAAAAAATGTAAATTGCGGGAAGCTAAATAAACAGAAAGCCAGCAGACAAGAAACAGAGGTGAAGAATTGTCCCTATTTGGATATTGTGTCCTAAAAAAACTATTTCCCTGACAGTTCCAAGTTTAGCGAATAAGACAAATTGTCACTTTTATACCCAGTGATAATACCAAAAAACATTACGTGTATTGGTCCAAGATGGCAAGGCCTAGGGCAGTGAAGGCCTAACCTTTACACCATGAATGGTTTCTGGACTACATTTCCCATGATGCTCAGCTAGCTTTTAGACTCTAAAAGCAAGCTGAGCATCAAAGGAATTGTAGTCCAGAAACAATTTATGGTGTGAAGGTTAGCCATCACTGGCCTAGGGCTTTCACTAAGGCGTAGTATGCGATTCTATTTATGTAATGTTTATTGGCAAACTCCCCTCCCAGACAGATGTCTATATCTGCAAGCTGGTCAAAAATGCTGGGTAGATTATATTACAAGTCAAGATTTAACATTGTATCATTCCTTACAATGTACATTATTATTATATATATAGCGCCAGCAAATTCCATAGCGCTGCACAATGGAAATAAACAGAGCCCAAAATTATCATGGGGCAAAGCTTGGGAATTGTCTGTCATCACTTCTATTTCTAAAAATACAGCCAGGGTAACGGACTACATTTCAGATAATAAGAATTATAACTCAAATTGACAAAATTTAGCCTAAAGTACCTGATATGAAATAAAAAGTGTTGCTATTTGGATTTCAGTTTGCTTATAGTCTTGAAGCTGTAGAGAATTAAATGGAAATGCTAAGCACCATAACCACTTCATCTTACTGAATAGTTCGGTTTCATAGACTGTCCTTTTTATTCTTTATAGCATCGCATTTCAGAGAACCATCCAATTGGCGGTGCTTGGTGACTGTTGCGCATGTGTCTAGTAGGTCCCCTATTAGATTTGATCAGAACAGAGACCATCAATCAAGATGACCTAAGAAGACAAGGAGGGCTTGCTGGGCAGAAACTGGGCTGGAAAATCAGTGGTTTTATCAGAGTTTTTGTTTTACAGGGGGGAGGCCTGTATCTAAAAGTACTAGGCAACCTAACATTTCTTTAAAACAAACAACCTCCCCACCCCCCACCACAAATACAACATTTTGGCTATGAAAGCAAATCCGCGACTAAAGACAATTTTCAGAATTTTTCCAAATTGCGTTTGTTTTGCAATTCAGTTTTCAATTCACTATATCCCAAAATATTTAACCTGAGCTAGGCTGACCAACAGAAAATCCCCAGCAGTTGATGAACTACTTGCCATCTGCAAAACTAGCAGAGCATCATGGTACTTGTAGTTTAACAACAGCTGGAGATGTACCTTTCAGATGATTACAGCTTAACCCTTCCCAGACAGAGAGCACTTATCCAGAAAAGAAATTAAAATAAATAATTGCTACAAAAGTGTCAATATTTATTTTATTCTGTGGAGAAAGAGAAAACAACAACATAATGACATCTGGCTTTTCATCATAACAAAAGATTGTCCAATTCTGCTTAGAATCCTCAGTCAGACAATAGAACATAAGCGCATAGCAACAGACAGGGCTACCTACTGAAACAACTTTCATTTCAAGAAGAATTTGCATGAAAATAATATAGCATTTATTAAATCATGGATACACAGATACTGCCTTTCAGCTATTTCTCAATGTTATTATTATTATTGCCATTTATATAGCGCCAGCAGATTCCGTAGCGCTTTACAATATTATTAGAGGGGGGATTTAATTATAAATAGGACAATTACAAGAAAACTTACAGGAACGATAGGTTGAAGAGGGCCCTGCTCAAAGGAGCTTACAGTCTATAACTTTAACTCTTATCACCATCAGCCAACCTAATGCAAACAGGTTCACGTCTATTGCTAATCCACCTGGAGGGGCCTGTAGATGTCACGGGCCTTGGGGATGAATTTAGAAGCTTCATAACTGTAGGCTGGCTGCTCATGATGAGTGTTGCATTCCAGTTATTCCTGGCTTGTTTTAACCATAATAATAATAATAATATTTATGAAGACAAAAGCAGGGGGTTACATAGAAACGCATTGTATGTCATTCCAAAGTAACAACAGATACAATTAAGAGTAAGAATCTACTGACAGCTTGAGGGAGATTTAGACAGCTCTAAATGGTGGGGAGGGGGTGACCATACACTAAAACCAAGAAACAAATAGGGCTAACATGTAAGATAGTTAGTCCAGTCATTGACAAATGTATTATCTAAGGTTAAAACCGAATTTGTGTACAGTAAGGGTATAGGGAATGGTTAGAGGATGTTAAGGGTTAATACTTTATATACAGTATGCTGGGTAATCTATGGGGATTCCTGGGGGTGGGGTGCCTGTATGTAGGGGGATATCCTGCTGAGTGGGGGAGTAGGGAGTATGAGGTAGAGCTGAGACTTCCAAAGCACTGAGTCACCCCAAAACACACAAATTCCAGTCACTGAGTCACCCCAACACATGGAGGGCTTCATCTCCCAATAACCCCTACTATGCCCACCCATATGTCTGTTCACATCACGCTGTGTATTAACGAAATATCTTTATCCAGAGGGACAGTTCACACTTTATTCCCAATCAACCAAACTCATCAGCTTCCCTGCTGCCCCCCAGGGGCAACCTCCCCCCATAATGTTACCTCTCCTCCCCTGACACCCCCATAATGTTACCCTGATACCCCCATTATTTACCCCAGCCCCTGTGTTGCCAGATGCTCAGTTTGCCCCTGACACCATCCCCCATGCTAACCCCCAAAGATCCCTGTGGCTCCCAGTACTTACCGTCAGTGGTCGCTGACATCTCTATGAGGGTCTCGTGCTCCATCTGACCCGAGCGGCTCATGTTCCCAGCGGGTCCCACTTACCCAGAGCCGGAGATTGGGGATAAAAGGCCGGAGACACCGGGAGATGTGTGCTCAGCTGAGCTCTACCTCCTCCTACCCCTCCCAAGCCTTCTTCTAGCCCTCCTCCACCTTCTACCCCTCCCATATCTTCTACAGCCCTCCTAGACCTTCTCCCCCTTCTCCCCCCTCCAAACCAGCCCCTCCTGCTCCCTGCCTGCATGACACTATTGGATACATTGAAATATAACACACACACTCACTAATGGATACATTAAAATATAACACACACACCACCCACCTACCTACCTACCTACCTACCTACCATTGTAATATAATAAACACGATACAAATGAATTCATTGGAATATAACACATAGTGCTAATTAATACATTGTAATAAACACAGTATAATGCTGTAACACATCCTACTATAATATACTGAAACACACTATACTGTAATACTCTGTGTAACACACAATATCATAATACTGTAACACACTATACTGTAATACTCTATGTAACACACTATATTATAATACTGTGATAAACTATACTATAATACACTGTAGCACACTGTACTATAATACACTGTAACACACTATATTGTAATACTCTGTGTAACACATTATATACTACAATATACTAGTATGTACCACACTATAATACATCGTAACACACTATATTGTAATACATTATGTAACACACTTTATTACAATTCTGTAATACACTATACTGTAATTCACTGTAACACACTGTACTGTAATACTCTGTAACACGGCAACCTTCGGCACTCCAGATGTTGTGGACTACACCCCCCATAATGCTCTTACACCCTTAATGCTGGCAAAGCATCAAGGGAGGTGTAGTCCAAAACATCTGGAGTGCCGAAGGTTGCCTATACCTGCACTATACTATAAAACATTGTAACATAGTGCACTGTAATACTCTGTGTAACACATTATATACTATAATATATTATGTAACACACTATAATACACTGTAACACACTATATTATAATACATTATGTAACACACTATATTATAATACACTATGTAACACACTATACTATAATACACTGTAACATACTGCACTATAATACACTGTAAACACATTATAATACACTGTGTAACACACTATACTATAATAAACTGTAACACTATATGATGTAATACACTGTAACATACTGTACTATAATACACTGTAACACACAATATGATAATACACTGCAACACTGTATGCTGTAATACACTGTAACATACTGTACTATTATACACTGTAACACACAATACTATAATACACTGTAACATACTGTACTATTATACACTGTAACACACAATACTATAATACACTGTAATACTGTATGCTGTAATACACTGTAACATACTATATAATACACTGTAGCACACTATATTAGAATACACTGTAACACTATATAATAACATTGTAATGGACTATACTATAATGCACTGTAACGCACTATACTATAGTACAATGTAACACACTATATAAAACACTGTAAAGCACTATACTAGAATGCACTGTAATGCACTATATAATAACACGGTAACACACTATAATACATTGCTCACTAAAAAGCCATTTTAGTTTTTAGTAATTTGAACTTTAGTCAACACAATTAAAATCGAATGGGTTTAGTTAAAGCCTCTCTTGGCCTCTTTTGCCCCTTCCCCAACCCCTTGTGTCTCTGTGTTCCTACAGCCCCTCTGGGTGTCTCTCTCCCAAGCTCCGGTCTCTCTTTTGCCTCGTCCACAGCCCCTCTGTGTCTTTTTTTGTCCTCCCACCACCTATGGGTGTTTCCCCCAAAGCCCTTGTCTGTCTCTTTTGCCCCTTCCCCCGCCCCTCTGTTTGTCTCTTTCTCTCAACAGCCCCATTTATGTGTCTCTTCCCCCACCATCTTGTCTCTTTCTCCCCCAGCCCCTATATGCATCTCCTTCTCACTCCCACATGTCTCAATTCTTCCCCCAGCTTCTCTGCGTGTCTCATTCCCCCTAAGTGTCTCATTCCGTGTTCATCCCCCCTTCCTCCATTCTCCCCAGCCCCCTATGTGTGTCTTATTCCCCCAGTCCTGTGATATGTCTCATTCTCCTAGCCCTATCATGTGTCTCATTCCCCCAGTCCCGAGGTATTTCTCATTCCCTCAGCCTCCCATGTGTCTAAATCCCCCCAGTTCTCCATGTGTCTCTATCCCACAGCCCCCCATGTGTCTCATTTCCTCTCCTCTCTTCCCCATGTGTTTTACTGCCAGTGTTAATTTTGGTGGCAAATTTCAATTTAGTTGTAATCATAGTCTTTTTATTATAATAACCTGTTACACATACACATTACACTATAATACACTGTAACACACTATAATACACTGTGTATCATACTCAACTATAATACTGTAACACATTATACTATAATAAACTGTAGCACATTACACTATAATACACTGTGTAACATACTGTACTATAATACTGTAACACGTTACATTTTAATAAACCGTAGCACATTATATTATTATACACTATAACACACTATAATACACTTAGTTTCATACTGGACTATAATACTGAAACACACTATATACATTATACTATTTTACACAAAATGTAATGTTATATATAGCCACAAAGGTTAGCATGTGTTCACCCACACCTATTGCCTATGGGGTGTGAGGATAGGTTATCCCCATTAATCAGCTCCCCAGCTGATAAAGAGTTTTGGAGAATACTGAAAAGCTCAGTGACCCATCTCGATGCACAGGTGAAAAAGGCAGAAGAAGGGGAGCCATACTACCCCTATCCGCATGTCATTATCAGCCCCCACATTCATTTGATACCTCTCATCCACCAGTATGGGAAAGGAAAGGAGTAAGTCACTCACTATTAACCTAGACACTGCTGCCTATGATACATAATAGTAGGAGTGATATTCTGTTTTGCAGGTAGTAGGTGTCAGGTAGTAGGGGTTCCAAAGGACCCCCATTGTTTTTGTATTTTATTTTAAAAGTACATGTTCTATTAATGCAATTGTTTATTTTGGGTAAGAATTTAGGAATAGCTGGAAAAGTTATTCCCGTGCTATTCCTTGTAGCCAAAAGTAAGCAAATATGAGTTATTCAAAGTCAATTCGATAACCACCAGAGAGGCTCCAGTTTAGAGCGAATTGTGATCTTTTTGGGGGGTAGATCTGCAATATATGGAGGATGCCACATTTTGTGTTTTTTTTTCTTTAACAATTTTTAGTACAATTTCAAAACCTATATAGGCCACATTCATCACTTGAAAACGAGAGAAATCTCAATGTATCTTTCCTGGTAAAATATTTTATAAATAAATAAATTAAGAGTTGTAGACAATACAGTACAATATTCCTAAAAGAGAAAAAAAACTAACAAACAAAACAAAAGTAAAACAAACAAACAAACTATAAACAACAGATTGGTAAGAAAGAAGTCACAAGCTGGGATTATTCGAGTACAATAAATAACTGAGTCAGCTTGAGAGAACCAGTAGAGACAGTAGATTTAGAAAAATAGAAGGATGGGGTAGATCAGGGATAGGCAACCTTCGGCACTCCAGATGTTGTGGACTACATCCCTCATAATGCTCTTATACTCATACTGCTGTTAAAGGATCATGGGAGGTGTAGTCCAAAACATCTGGAGTGCCAAAGGTTGCCTATGTCTGAGGTAGATTATCTTCTAGAGTGCAGTTCCCAACTTGCCTCAGAGCCCCTTGTCAGCTTATAAACTCCAGGCTAGGTGCAGGGATAACAATTTATTTAGCCCTATTAAAACACACAATCTCAGAATAAAACTATAGTATATTAGTCCACCTTACTTGACGCGTTTCGGCAAAATAAGCCTTTCTCAAAAGTGTTTATGTCCTTCCACTCTGTATTCCTCTGGCTTTTTTGGCACCTCTTACCATAAATTTTCCCGCCCGAACACATCCTCCAACCAAGTATTCTCCCAGGTCTCATGTCTATGACACCGGGACGCTCGCCATCTGCACGTCATGTGTCGTGCATCTATGACGCCGGGACGTTTGTTGTGTAGAGTTGTTCACGGAGTTCCTCCCCTTTTGCATCTCGACGCACGTGACTAAATCTCAACATGCACGCATTCCCTGCACAGTCACTAAACGTCGGGACTCATCTACTTCAACTCAAAGTCTTCTGGGGGCAGGAGTGGTATTGAAAAACACTCCCTTCATTACTTATGCAATAGAGCAGGGGTAGGAAACCTTCAGCACTGCAGATGGTATGGACTACATTCCCCATAATGCTCTTACACCCATAATGCTAGCAAAGCATCGTGGGAGGTGTAGTCCAAAACATCTGGAGTACCGAAGGTTGCCTATGCCTGCAATAGAGTCTAAATCCTATTATAGGAATTTGGAGCCCAATCCGCCATATTTTCTGAATATATTATAATATATAATATTCTAATATAAAAAGTTAAAAATAATGTGATTATTCCATTATCATAACTTACACATATTAAAACAATATTAAATTCAATTTAAAATAATTAATACATTCTCAATATGTCACAATTCTGATATAGCAGATAAGAGAGTTAATACATTCTACTGATCCAATTACACACACAGATATACAACAGCAGATAAATATATATATAACTATGCATATATAGTCTATATCATAAAATGTTGTAGAAGAGAACCTATAATGAGAGAAATAATAAATTAGATAAAATAATTTATTTAAAAAACAATGTTAAGACCGTGAGGTTGCAAGCTATCCATATTGAAGATCCACCTAATTTCTGATCTCCCAAGGAAGCTATCTTTATCGCCACCTCTCCAGTGGACCTTGATAAATTGTATATGATGGAATATTTGGAACCAAGCCTGGACCACCATAGATGAAATACAGTGCCAGCATCTGACCCACAGTACCAATAGGTAGATGGTATAAAGGGGTCAAAGGTAAGTATATGAGAAGGTATAGTCCAGTAGGATGGTGGATTTTTAAAATATTCTTAGGTTTTTTGATTTCTCCATACTACTGCAATATTATAAGATGACTACTTTCTTTTTCTAAATATTCTAGAGCAAATTCAGAGCTTAGTGAATTGTTCCCTTCTTG